TGCGGTCGACTCTGAGGATCCCCGCCAGACGCGGCGGATTACGATGCCGCGGACGTCGCGACGGGGATGCAAGAGTTTCTCATCTGCGTCGAGATGTTCTTCGCCGCGATCGCGCACGCGTACGCGTTCCCCACGAGCGAGTACGAGAAGCGAAGCAGTCACGACGACGACGACGACGACGACGATTCGTATCTCGGTCTCAGAGGAGGACGCGAAAGGTCGTCGTCGACGCCGCGACGCGTGTCCATGTTCGAAAACGTGAAGGACATGTTCGACCTCCGCGACGTCTACTTGGACGTGATCAACTACGGGGAGAGGAACCGCGAGAACGTGTTCGAAGGGCTCAAGGGCGCCGCGGGGATGTTCGTCGGCGGGAGTGGTGGGGGGAGCGGCGGCGGTGGGAAGGCGCATCAGGACGGCGACGTCGAGCTCGAAGAGAAGAAGAAGAAGACGGCGGCGGCGGCCGCCGCAGGCGAGGATTTAGGCGTGAGGGTGCTGCAAGGGTTGCAGAGCATCGACGGAGGACCGAAGAAGAGCGGCGGCGGCGGGGCGGGGCATCCCGGGACGGAGATGAACATCGACACCCTCATCCCCGGCCGTTAGCCCGACGACGCCGGTGCGCGCGCCGCCGGGGGGGCTGCCGCCGCTGGAGCGCGAGGCGAGCTCGAAGTTCCGATAACGACGACGATGACGCGCGACGCGACGCGACCGACGCGATAGAAGAAGAGCAGGTGCGGAATGAATAATAAAACATCTGTCGCTAGAAATATATACGAGAGCCTACAGTACCTACGCGATTCATTCGTCAGTTTATGAAGTCCGTGGGCAACGTCTGGCCGTTCCTCAGGAACGGCGAGAACAGCTGGTCGTACCACAGCGCGAACGGCTGCATCACGACGCCCACGAACAGCTGGCTCGCCATGAAGACCGCGACCTGAAGGTACCCCGGCGCCTTCCCGGTCTCCTTGTCGATGTACCACGGCTCCTCGCCTTTCGCGTACAGCGGCTTCGGGTTGATGAGGTTCACGCCGGCGTTCTTGACGGAGGAGGACGACGGAGTCTTCTTCTTCGGCGGAGACGTCTTCTTATTCTTATTAGGAGACGTCTTCGTCGTCGACGTCTTCTTCGCTCCGAACAGCGCGATCGTCGTCTTCGTCGTCGTCGTCTTCGTCGTCGTCGTCGCGGACGCGACGCGGCGCGGCGCGAGCGCGCGCGCGGACGGCGTCCTCGAGGAGAGGCCGACGCCGACGGAAGAGGTCGTCGCGGCGTGCATCGTGCGCGAGGGAGTGGGGTCGAGGCGCGCGACGCGACGCGATCGTCACGCCATCAAAAAAATCTCGAGACTCACGACGACGACGACGAGATCGTCCGGAATCATATGCCCGGCGCAGTCGGTCGCCGCGCGAACGTCGCGATGCTGAGCGACATCGCGGTCCGCACCGATGGGCGCACGCCCGCGATGATGCGGCAGATGCACATGGAGCGCGACTGCCTCGAGCGCGCGACGGGCAGCGCGCGATGGGAGCAAGGCGCGTCCTCGCCGCCGGCCGCGCCGCGCCAGCCTTCTCGCCGTCGAACGAACGAACGAGTAATCGAATCGTCCGATCGATCCTGACGCTCGCCCTCGCCCTCGTCTCTCGCCGTCTCTCCCCTTCCCCGTCCCCGCAGACCGTTCCGTGGTGTACGCCGCGGTGTACGGCCCGATGGAGATTCGCGCGGGGAAGCAAGACACGGACAAGCTCGTCATCGAGGTCGTCGTCCGCCCGGCGTCCGGCGCGCCGTCCTCCGCGGACAAAGAGCGCGAGGTCACGATCCGACGCGCGCTCGAGCACGTCGTGAAGACGGCCGCGCATCCGCGGTGCGGGATCCGCGTCGTCTTGCAGACCGTCTCGAGCGACGGCGGCATCGACGCGATCCTCCTGAACGCCGCGTGCGCGGCGTTGATCGACGCGTCCGTGGACGTCACGGGCGTGCTGTGCGCGTCGTCGCTCGCGGTGCTTCCCGGCGTCGGCGTCGTCGTCGACCCGACCGAGGACGAGGAAACCGCGGCGACGGCGACCGCGACGATGGCATACAACTTCCGCGGCGAAGGCGTCGGCAACGAGAACGGCGACGGCGGGCTGCTGCCGGCGATGGCGGCGCCCGAGGCGGAGGCGGAGGTGCTGACGACGCTGACGCGGGGGGTCTTCTCGGAGGAGGCGTTTTTGGAGATGACGGTGACGGGGCGCGACGCGGCGGCGGCGGCGTTTACGTTCATGATGGAGGCGCACGATCGTTATCTCGCCGCGCAGGAGGCGCACATGACGACCGGGTTGACGGCGAGGATCGAGGCGCTGGCGTTGGAGCTCGAGAGAGAGCAGAGAGGCGCGGGAGGCGGCGGGGGGGGCAAGGGGGCACGGGGCGGCGGCGGCGGCGGCGAAGGCGGCGGGGGCGAAGGCGGCGGGGGCGAAGGCGGCGGGGGCGAAGGCGGCGGGGGCGAAGGCGGCGGTCGAACGACGTTCGACGGCGGCGAGCAGAAGGAAGTCGAGGCGGCTTGACTCACGTTACGTTAATAACAACTCGCCACGCGTAGTACAACACCCCGTCCGTCTGTCCGTCCGTCGCGACGTACTGTAGTTTGTTCTCGAACTCGCGAGAGACAGACCAGATACCTGTACCAGACGACGTCGGACTCATCACTTGAACACCGCCTGATCGCCGAGCTCCTGCCCCGCGAGTCCCTCCACGCTCACCTTCTTGAAAAAGTCCCCCAACGTGTCCGTGCCGTACGACGGCGTCTTCGACGCGTCGTACACCCACTCGTCCTTCTCCGCGTCGCTCTTCTCGTCGTCCAACACGAGCATGGACTCCGCGGCGTAGTACCGTCCGATCTTGCCAAACTCCGCGGCGTCTCGCATGTTGGAGAAGAACCCCGCGAAGGTATCCAGGACCTTGATCACGCCGTCCATGACCTCGATCGGGACCTTGATAAACTTGGGCTCCATGCCTAAGATCTCGAAGAGCATCGTGCCCTGCTGCAGCGCGCTCATCGCCTCGCCGGGACCGCCGATGGGCAAGATCTTGTTCTCGAGCTTCGGGTCGCGGATGCACTCCGCCATGTACTTCGCGAGGTCGCGTTCCGAGATGGGCTTGCACGACGCCAGCTGTCCGTCGCCGAACATGACGTACGGCCCGCCCTTCTGCACGGACTCCACCTGCCCCGCGAGCGACTTGAAGAACGCGGTCGGGCGCACGATCGAGTGCGAGATCTCCGAGGACGCCGCCGCGAGCTCTTCCTCGAACTTGAGCTTGGCCTTTTGGAACGTCGGGGCGGAGTTCAAAGGCGTCAGACTTGGGAGTTGAAAGGCGTCGAGGTGTGTCGGGATTGTGAGCGAGGGAGCCTGGGCGGAGAGAAATACACGCCGGGAGAGAAAGTCCTTAAGGAACGGCGTTCACCACGCCGACGCGGTCGTACGGGGACCGGTGTGAATACGAACGCGCCTTTTGGAACGTCAGCAACGGCTTCTGGACGCAGATGGCGGAGAGGAGCACGAAGTGCTTCGCGCCCTTCTCGCGCGCGACGTCCAGGACGTTCTTCGTCGCCTGGTAGTCCACGTCCCACGAGTCTTTGATCCCGCCCGTGCGCGACGCGAGGCAGGAGACGACGACGTCGAACGCGCCGTCGGCGTCGCCGAAGGCGTCGCCGCGGATGGACGCGACGTCGCTCACGGAGCCAAACTTCACGGTCGCGTCCGGGAACGTGCGCCGCGCGTCCTCCTTCCCAGACTTGCCGCCGATCCCGGACTTCTCGCGCACGAACGCGGTGACGTCGTAGCCCTGCGCGCACAGCTCGCGGACGACGAACTTGCCGATGTATCCCGTGCCGCCGACGACGAGGACCTTGACGCTCGCGTTATCTTTCGGGAGATCGGCGATCGACGCTCGCGGCGTCGTCGAGACGCGGCGCGCGCGGCGCGCCGGCGCGGTCGAGGACGCGCGGCCGCGGCGGGCGGCGTTCAGCGAGGACGCGGCGGGGGCGACGTGCGCGCGGGCGGACATCGCGGAGGCGGCCATGGGGGGGCGGCGCGCGATCGTCGAGTGCGCGTGCCACTTGGCGTTGGGAGATAAAGATCGAGAGATCTTGGGCCGCGAGACGTCCCGGCTGTGCGCGTACGAGCAAACAGTTCGCTGGCTATCGCGCGCGTGTACTACAACGAAAACTACTCATTCGATCTCCTCGAATCCCAAACGCTTCGTCGTCACGGCTCTCGCAACCCTCGCACGCCCGTGAGCAGCGCGAGCGCTTTGTTCAAGTTATCGATCGCGGTCGGGACGTCCTCGAACCCGAGCGCGCTGACCGCGTACTTGGCGTGCTTCTGCGCGTCCGCGACGTGCGCGGCGGAGACGCCGTCCGCGAACGCCTGCGTCGTCGTCGTCGTCGTCGTCGTCGTCGTCGCGACAGCCGCCGGCGGCGCCGGCGGCGGCGGCCGCGGGCGGCTCGCGGGCGGCGGCGGGCGAGGACCCACCGCGGCGGCGGATGGGGGTGCCGAAGGGGGTGCCGAAGTGGGTGCCGACGGCGGCGGCGGCGGCGGCGCGGAGGGCGTCGTCGTCGTCGCTTCCTCTCCGCCGCCGCCAGCTGTACCGCCGCCGCCGCCGGCTGTGCCGCCGCCGCCCGTCGTCCTCGCGGCGCTCGCGCTCTCGTCCTCCCCCTCTTCCGGCGGCGGCGCCGCGGTCCTCCCCTCTCGGTTCGCCTTCGCGAGCTCCCCCGCGCGCCACGCCGCGTATCGCTGCTTCCCCGCCATCTCGTCGCTGAGCTCGTGCTTCGCGCCGTTGCTCACGTCGAACTGCGGGTCGTCCCGCGCGACGCGACGCGACGAATGAAAGTCGGGGCGGAGTTCGAGGGCGTCGGGTCAGACGGAGTCGAAAGGCGTCGCGGCGGCGCGTCGGGATCGTGAGCGAGGCGCGCGCGGAGAGACGCGCCGGGAAGAAGAGGCCTTAAGGATCGGCGTTCACAACGCGGACGGGGTCGTATGGGGACCAGTGTCGCGGGGCCACAGACAGAACGCGCCTGCCTCAGCGTCTCGATCACGATCGACGCGACGTAAAACAGCTTCGCCGTCTTCGCGTCGCGTCGCCCCCCGCGGTCGAGCTTGTCCGCCTTCGCGAACAGACGCAGCGCGAAGTTCTCGACGTACGCCTCGTCCTCCTCCGCGCCCTGGAGCCCCGCGGAAGGTTTCGTCTTCTCGAGCTGCAGCACGAGGAGCGACAGGAGCTCGCGCATCTCCGGAGTCTTATCAGACGTCCTCATGCCCTCCTCGCACGCGAACATGCGGCAGTAGTACGCCACCTTGGGGTCCGCGCGCTGCAATTCGTCACCGCGCTGGAGGAACGGCAGCAGCGGCTTCGCTTGCTCGCCCATCGCGCGCGTCGGCGGGGGGCGGGAGTGCGGAGGGCGCGGGGGCGATGGTGACTCGAAATCTGGAGCCGCGTCCGCGTCCGACCGAGCTCGACTGACGCTGTGTGCGAAAAAATCATCGGTCAGTTGAAAGGCAAAGCGATCAAATGTTGAAACCAAGCGGTGGGTGAAAAACGATCGCACCTGACTCGCATTCGTTACAGCAGTCCAGCGTAGACGTCTCGTTATTTCTCGTCTCCGCCGCCACTCTCGACGACCGCCCGCGCCGCGCGGCTCCTCTTCCCGAGATGATCACGAGACTGGGCACGAAGGTCGGGACGTGCGACGAGATGCGCCTGCGCAGCGGCCACCGCGTCGGCGTCTCCGGCCCCGCGAACGCGATCCCGACGTCCGCCGCCGAAGCGCGAGCGATGCTCATGCGCGACGCCGTCGTCATGCCCGAGGAGCACGCGCCGGCGTTCCGCGAGGGCCTCGCCGGGCTCCTCGCGCGATGGACCGCGCTCCAGCTCGCGATCCTGAACGAGTGGGGCGGCGCGGAGAGCGCGCAGAAGGGCGACGCGGCGTGCGACGAGCTCGCGGACTGGTTCCTGCGACGGAAGGGGGGCAAATACGCGGAAGACCTCGAGGAGCTCCTGATCGAGATCTTAGGCGCGTTCTATACACTGGTCCCCATACGACCCCGTTCGCGTGGTGAACGCCGATCCTTAAGGACTTTGCCCGGCGTGTCTCTCCGCCCATCCCTTGCGTTCAATCCCCGCCATCGACGCCTTTCAACTCCGCTTCTGACGCCTTTCAACTCCACCCCGACATCGCTTTGTATGGAACGACCCTTAGGCGACGACTTCAACGTCCAGTGCGAGGACGGGAGCCCGCGGGAGGTGGCGAAGGTGGCGTGCGAGATGTACGAGCGCGTCGCGCAGGGGGACTACGCCGTCGCGAGGGAAGTCTGCGCTCGACCGCTGCCGCGCGAGCATCTGGAGCGGTGTAAGCGGATAGAGGAGGACCGACGGTGGACAGCGGGCGCGGCGGCGACGGGCGGCGGCGGCGGCGGCGACGGCGGCGGAAGCGGCGAGGAGATGGAGATGGATGCGGACGATCTCGCGGAGGGGCTGGGCGGGTTTAGCATGCGCGACGAGGGCGCGCGCGCGGCTGCGGCGGAGGCGCGAAGAAAAGCCGCGGAGCCGGACGAAGACGGATGGTGCGTCGTCCCGTCGCGGCGGTAGGAGTCGGCACGGCGCAAGCGCATCGTTTACAAATCCACAGAATCACAGAAGAATGGCATCCTCGTCGCGCGTCGATCGATTCGATCGATTCGATCGACCACGATCGACCGCGATCGATCGATCGATGTCGATCGATGATCGATCGATGTCGATCGATCACCGCAGCGGCTCCTCGACGACCTCGATGATCTCCTCCATGTCCACCTTCGTCTCCACGACGTCCTCGCCGCCGCCCTCTCTCCAGTTCGGATACCTCGCGGTCATGATCTTCCGAATCTTCGCCCTGTGCTCTTCGCTCTCGAGCATCTCCGTCTTCGCCTGCTTCCAGCGCTTCCACTCGTCCATGACCGCGCGCTTCTCCGCGGCGAGGTGCGAGTCTTGCTCGCTTCGGATGCTGTCGTCGAGCTCTTCAAACTTTTTGCTGTACTTTTTCAGATTCTTCGCGATCTCCGCCTCCTTCTCCGGCGGCAGAAGCGACGGCGCGCGCGGACGCCACAGAAACTGGTAGAACCGCTCGCGCCCGTGCTTATACAGCTGTCGACCGTTGAACGTCCACACGTGAAAACCGTTCTCCATCTGATGCACGGACGTCACCGCGGTTGCGACGTATCGCCCAGTCGGGTCCCACTCGACGTCCGTCGCCATGAAGTGCTCCGCGCTCGCCATCGTCTCCATCTCGTCGACGTTGAAGAACTCAAACTGGCCGTTCATCGTCTTCAGGCCCGCGAGGACGATCGTCTTGCCCTGCGGCGACCAGAAGAGGTGGTTCGCGGTCTTGTTCTTCAGCGTGCCGATGAGCTTAACCTTATTGATCGCGGAGGCGTCGTCGATCATGGTGTAAAACGAGACGTTGGGCCTCGCGCCGTCGCCGTGGATGACCGCGAACCGATGGCCCTTGGGCTCCCACGCGAACGCGACGATCTTCTCGTTCTTGTCCGGGAGCTCGAGAACCTCCATGGGGCAATCAGGCTCTTTCACGCGGAACAGCTCGAACCCGCTGTACGTCGACTTTTTCGACTTGGTGTGTCTGTCCACCTTCATCGCGAAGTAATCGCCGCTCTGCTGCCAGAACATCTTGACGTCGGAGACGCTGAAGAGGTTCTTGCTTCGGATCTCCTTCTTGCTCGGGATGGAGATGAGCGCGACGCGCGCGGGCTCGTTCCCGCCGCCGCGCTCGGGCTGAAACACGGAGAGGATCGGATCCGCGGGGGACCAGCAAAAGTCGATCACGCCCTCGAGCTTGATGGACTTCTTCCCGAGCAGCGACATGTCCGGCGCGGAGTACACGGACACCGCGTTGTTCCCCATGCGCGCGAAGAACGCGCCCTCGGGGGACGGGCCCGCCCACTTGAAGACGGGCCACGTGAGCCCGCCTCTGGACCCCGCCGCGTGGACGACGAAATCGCTGATGGGGCCTTGAAAGTTTCGAAGCTTGGCGCCCGAGCGCGTGTCGAAAAAGTTAACCACCACGGAGGTGTCGCCCCCGCCCTCGTGCGTGGACCCGCTCGCGAGGTACCTCTCGCACGGCGAGAACTCGATGAACTGCACGCCGTTGTGCGAAAACTTTTGGTACCGCTGCCACGACGCGCCGCCCCACAGCGCGACGCCCTGCCGATGCACCGTCGCCAAAAAGTTCCCTCTCGGCGACCACTGCGTTGCGTACGTCGGGGTGGAGTTGAAAGGCGTCAAATGGAGTTGAAATGCGTCGAGGTGTGTCGGGATTGAAAGCGAGGGACCCTGGGCGGAGAGATGCGCCGGGAGAGAAAGTCCTTAAGGATCGGCGTTCACCACGCGAGGAACGCGGTCGTATGGGGACCAGTGTGACGCGACTCCTACCTGCACGTACGACTCCGTCCAGAAGCTCCGCTTGTACACCTCCACCGGCTCCTTCTTCTGCGCGTCGTTCCAGTGAATCTCCGTCTCGTCCCCGAAGCGTATCGCGTACTGGTCGCGCCCGCGCGCGTCGAGCATGTAGTCCTGCGTGTTTTCTCGCGCGACGTACGGCTTAGGCTTGGGCTCTTCGTACTGATCCGGCACCGCGTCGTACTTGGCGAAGTCGTCGAACCGCGACACCTTGAACACGTGCGCCTTGTCGAGCTTGTACCCGTCCGTCTGTTGGCGCGCGGCGTCCGCCTCTTGCGAGTTTAAGAACTCCACGAACGCGAAGCCTTTCGTGACGCCGTCCGCGTCCGCGGGCATGTGCAGCCCGCCCTCCGCGACCGTGCCGATCTGAAGGGTAATTGCCCATATGAGCGAATGTCGGGGTGGAGTTCAAAGGCGTCAGAAGCGAGGTTGAAAGGCGTCGAGGGCGGGTGTTGAATGCGAGGCGTGGGCGGAGAGATGCGCCGGGAGATAAAGTCCTTAAGGATCGGCGTTCACCACGCGAACGCGGTCGTATGGGAACCAGTGTGAGGAGAACGCGCCTGACCGAAGATCTTCTTCAGCACCGTCGCGAGCTTCTCGTGCTTCGCCTTCGGAACCTTCGGGAGGTTGTCCACGACGACGACGGACCCGAACCCGGAGTCCATCTTCACCTCCTCGACGTTCACGTCGTCGTCGTCGCTGCGGAAGAGGGGAAGAGGAGGGAGAAATCAAAATCGATCACGTCAGAGAAGATCGATCGAGGGTTCGAGGGCGGGGCGCGCGAACGGCGGCGGGGCGCGCGAAGGCGCCGCCGCGATCGGACGCGGCGAGCGGCGTCGGTCGCGCCGCGTCGGTCGCGCCGCGTCGTCGGTCGGTCGCGCGTCCGGCACGCGCGCGATCGATCCGCGGCGCGACGCGGATCCGATCGCGGACGCGCGAGGGCGACGACGACGAAAGAAAACAAGGAGCGCGCGCGCGGGTCGATCGATCGCCGGGAGGAGATCGCGCGGGATCGCGCGGGGTCTTCTCTCCGCGCACCTGACGACGCCCATGTCGTCCCCGGGCGGGAGCGCGATCTTCGCGACGTCGACCTTGTCCCACTCGACGTAGCCATCCTGCGAGAAGAAGCGCGGCGCGTCAGCGCGATGATTCGAGGCGCGGAGGACGACGACGGCCGAGGAGAGAGGAGAAGAGAGAGGGAGGAAAGAAAGATTTCTCCTCCTCTTCCGCGCGGTAGGGTCGAGCGCGCGGGTGGGGGGGGGGGGGGGAACGCGCCTCGCCCTTGGGAAGGTTGGCGGGAATCGCCTCTAACCCCGCGGCGACCATGTTGCTCGCCAAACGACGACGCGCGGGGGAGGGCGTTCGAACCCTGCGTCCTCGCGCTCCGTGCTCGGCGGAAAGGGCGAGCGCGAGGGGGAGCCGCCGCCGCAAAAACGATGATGAGCAGAGAGAGGGTTTGTTTCCGAGCGCGGTCCGAAACTGTGTGCGATGAACGGTTTCAACATTTGATCGCTTCCCCTTTCAACTGACCGATGAATGTTTTTTTGCGTGGATCGCCCTCATCAGCTCCAGCCGTCCAGCTGGCGCGACGTCGTCGAACCGTCGTCGTCCGTCCTCAGCCACACTCGCTCGCGCGCGCTCCTCGTCGTCCGCGCGCCATGGCCTCCACGGCCGCCATCGCGCCGCTCACCGCGCGCGTCCGCGCCGCCGCCGGCGCGTCCTCTTCGTCGTCCGCGTCCTCCTCCTCCCCGCGCGTCGTCCGCGCGGCGCCGCCGAAACGCGCGTCGTCGCGTCGTCGCGTCCTCCCTCTCCCGTCGTCGTCGTCGTCGTCGTCGTCGTCGCGGATCGCGATCGCGACGCGCGCGTCGTCGTCGGAGATCTCGCTCATCGCGCAGGTCGCGCTGCGCGACGACTACGACCCGGTCGTCTTCCTCTTCTGCGCGAACGCGCTGTTCCTCTCCGTCGTCATCAACGTCGTCAACTACGCGCTCGATCGCGACGACGACGGCAACGTGTCGTGGCCCGAGGGTGGCGCCGAGGTAATCGCGGCGAGGGTCAAGGCGGGGATGATCGACTACTTCGAGACGCCGTTCAAGCAGGGCGGGCTGTTCAAGCCGCCGACGCCGTCGAAAGACCTGGACGCCGCGGTCGAGGAGCTCATCTTAGCGAAGAGCGCGGCGTACGTCGCGCGAGGGACGGACCTCGCGGAGGAGAAAGCCGCGCGGCTGAGGCGCGTTCTATGTCCATCACACACTGGTCCCCATACGACCCCGTCGGCGTGGTGAACGCCGATCCTTAAGGACTTTTGCTGTCGTCTCTCTCCGCCCAGGGTCCCTCGGTTTCAATCCCGACACACCTCGACGCCTTTCAACTCCACCCCTGACGCCTTTCAACTCCACCCCGGCGTGGACCCTCGACCCTCATCATCAGCGCGGCACGGAAAAACGCCGTCGCCGCGGGGTTGTCGCCGACGTCGGCGCTGCTGAGCAGCAACACCGGCCCGGAGACGGAGAGCTTCGCGCCGGACGTCGACCAGGCGCGACCGAGCGGCGGCGGCGACGGCGGTGGGACCAACGCGGGGGCCGATGAGAAGGACGAGTGAGGCGTCGGCAACCCGGCCGGGGACGACGGCGAGGTCGGGGGTGCCGCGAAGAATCCGCGGATTGATTTAAAAACGAGCCGATCGTCGTCGTCGTCGTCGTCGTCGTCGTCGTCGTCGTCGTCGTCGTCGTCGTCGTCGTCGTCGTCGTCGTCGTCGTCGTCGTCGTCGTCGTCGTCGTCGTCGTCGTCGTCGTCGTCGTCGTCGTCGTCGTCGTCGTCGTCGTCGTCGTCGTCGTCGTCGTCGTCGTCGTCCGTTGTCGTCGCCACGGCGAAGTCCGCGAACTTGGAGGAGGACCGCCGGTATGTCAACGTCACCGGGTTCCCGTTCCCGCTCACGCCGCTGTTCTCGCGCGTCACGACCGTAAAAGAGCTCGTCCCCGGCGAGGTGTGGGCGTTCGAGCAAGAGCAAGGCATCGGACTCAACCTGGGCGTCTCCACTAACGTGCGAATGACCGTCGTGAAGCTGCGGAACGGCGATCTGTGGATCCACGATCCGATCGCGCCGACGAGGGAGTGCGTCGAGGCGGTCGAGGCGATCAGAGCGCGGACCGGCGGCGACGTGAAGTACGTCGTGTTGGCGACGACGCAGGCGCGTTCTGTTGTTATCACGCTGGTCCCCATACGACCGCGTCGGCGTGATGAACGCCGTTCCTTCTTAAGGACTTTCTCTCCCGGCGGGCGTTTCTCTCCGCCCACCCCCCCTCGCTTTCGATCCCGACGCGCCTCGACGCCTTTCAACTCAGACTGACGCACCCCTGAACTCCACCCCGACATTCGTCGCTTCGCGCGGACCCTCGGCCCTCAGTACGAGCACAAGGTGTTTTGCGGGCCGTTTTCGCGCAAGTTTCCGCGCGCCGAAGTGTGGATCTCGCCCGGGCAGTTTTCCTTCCCGGTGAACCTCCCGAGCGAGTTTTTCGGCATCTTCCCGACGGGCGAGCTCGCGTCGGACGCGGACGCGACGATGCCGTGGGCGGACGAGATCGAGACGAAGCTGTTAGTCCTTCCGTCGTTGTTTTGGGGTTGTTACACCTACGCGGAGGCGGCGTTTTATCACCGAGACACCGCGTCTGTCCTCGTCACCGACGCGGCGGTGTACGTCGACGACGCGCCCCCGGACGTGATCCCGCGCGACGCTCTCGTGGACCTCGGCGCGGAGGACGGGTTCACGATGAGGCTTCTTCGGTTCGGTGACTACCGAGGCGGGCGGAATCTCCCGGGCGCCGGCGGCGACAGAGACGTCGACGCGGACGGGTGCGTTCTATATCACACTGGTCCCCATACGACCCCGTTCGCGTGGTGAACGCCGATCCTTAAGGACTTCGCCCGTCGTCTCTCTCCGCCCATCCCTTGCGTTCAATCCCCGCCCGCGATGCCTTTCAACTCCATCTGACGCCTTTGAACTCCACCCCGACGCACAGGTGCGTCGAGATCGGGTGGCGGCGGATGGCGCTGTTCTCGCTGTTCATCGCTCCGGACGCGAAGAACATTCTGAACCCGTACGCGTCGTTCGACGGTCTGAAGAACAAGTTCGTCGTGTCCCCGATCGTGTACGCGGTCGTGTTTCAGTTCTTTCGCGGACGCGTCGCCGAGTGGGCGTTCGAAATCGGGGACGAGTGGAAAGACGCGAGACGCGTCGTGTCCGGGCACTTTCCCGTGTGCGAGAGAGACGGCGCGGTCGAGGCGTTCGCGGACGCCTTTCGGTGGGCGAAGACGAAGGAGGAGCCGCCGGAGGAGTACGTCGATCTGGAGGACTTGGACTCGTTGAACGTCGTCGTCGGGATATTACGCGCGATCAAGGCGGTGCCGCCGAAGTGAAGCGAGCGACGCCGCGCGCAGCGAGGAGAGCGACGAAGGGCGGTACCTTATGATATGCATCACGTTGGAACGTTGGAATGAAAGAACGCGAGTAGCTAGCATCGAGGTTTCGTTTCGTTTCGTTCGTTCTCGCGCTCGTCGCGCCGTCATCGACGTCGTCGTCGACGACGACGACGACGTCGTCGTCTATCGTCTCCGCTCTCAGAGCTTCCTCCGTCGTCTTCGTCGTCCGCCGCCGCCGCCACTGCAGAAAACAATGAACGAGCCAACGTCACCAGTCGTCGTCGTCGTCGTCGTCGTCGTCCCCCGTCCCACTCATCGCGCCGTGCTTCCGGTTCCACTCCTCGTGAAAGTCGATGTCCGCCTTCGTGACGCTCGGACGCACCTGCTTCGCCGCGCGCTTGAAGTCGACGAGCTGGATCGGTCGCATCGCGGTCGGGGACAGGACGTCCCCCGCTGCGCCGCCGCCGCCGCCGCCGCCGCCGCCGCCGCCGCCGCCGCTCGCGCTGAACAGTTCCCTGAGCGGCGCGCGCGCAGCCTCCTGCACGAGATGCCGCATGTCGCTCCCGGAGTACCCGTCCGTCTTCTTCGTGATCACGTCCAGATCGCTGTCGGACAGAGAGTGTCGGACGCTCGCGTCCGCGCCGAGGATGTTCTCGACGATCGCGCGCCGCGCGTCCTCGCACGGCAGCGGAATGTACAGCTGCTTCGCCAAGCGTCTTCGCGCGCCGTCGTCGAGCTCCTGCGGGCGGTTCGTCGCGCCGATGAGAAGCAGTCTTCCCTCGTCGCCGCCGAGGCCGTCCATCTGCACTAAAAATTCCGTCTTCATCCGCCGCGAGCTCTCGTGCTCGCCCTCGGATTTACGCGCGCTGAGAAGCGAGTCGATCTCGTCGACGAAGATCACCGCGGGCTCGCACGCGGCGGCGACGGCGAACAGCGCTCGGACCATCTTCTCGCCCTCGCCGATCCACTTCGACGTCAGCGACGACGCGGATATGCTGAAAAACGTCGCGCCGCACTGCGACGCCACCGCGCGGCCGATGAGCGTCTTGCCGGTGCCGGGAGGACCGAAGAGTAAGAGGCCTCTCGGCACCGCGCGCGCGCCGCGAAACAGCTCGGGTTTCATGAGCGGCCACACCGCGAGCTCTTGCACCGCCGCCTTGGCGTGCTTCAACCCGGCGATGTCGTCCCACGCGATCGTCGCGGGGGTTTCCAGAATTTCGGACACGACGCGCTCGACGATGTCCTTGTCCATCTTGAGAAGGCTCTCCGGGATCGGTTCCCCGGCGGGGGATATCCGCGCCATGACCGCGTCGGAAAACGGCGGCGCGTCCGCGTCTCTCTCGTCGCCGTTCGAACCCCCCTTCTGTCTCTGCCCCCCCGCGCCGCCGCCGCCGCCGCCCGAGCCGTTGAGCGCCTTGCGAACGTAGGGCGGCACGAACCCGTTGCCGCCTGTTCCGCCGCCGCCTCCTCCCGCGGACGTTCGCTTCTCGCGCGGCGGCAACCCTTTCCTCGCGTTTTCCGCGTCCAGGCGGTCCCCCGCGCTGACGAAGCTCGCGGCGCCGCCGCCGCCCGCGCGCGCGGCCGCGTCGCGCGCCGCGTCGCGAGCCGCGGCGCGACGCTCGGCCGCCGTCGGCGACTTCATACGCGCGGCGGCGCCCTTGCCTCGCCCGCCGCCTCTCCCGCCTCTCCCGCCTCTCCCGCCGCCGGCGCCAGCTGTGTCGTCGCCGCCTCTTCTCTCTCCTGGTTTGTTCCACGCGAGCGGGTTCGGGTACCGGACTTGGTCCTCGCCGTCGCTCGGGGAGTCGTTCTCCGGGTCTTCCCTGACGACGCGGTTTCGCGCGCTCGCGCCCCAGTCGTGCTTCGGCGCCTTCGCCGTCGCCGTCGGCGGCGGCGGCGGCGGCGGCGCCGCGGCGGGGGGTGCCCAGTTTTTCTCCCAGTCCCTCGTCGTCGTCGTCGTCGTCGTCTCCAACCCTCGCTTCGCGGTCGCGTTCGGCGGCGGCGCGGTCGCGCGCGCGTCGGCGGCGTTCGGCGCCGCCGCCTTCGCGGCCGCGATCGCGGTCGTCTTCATCATCGCGCGGACGCTCGCGAGGTTGCCGTCGCACTCGTCGATGACGCTTCGCAGCACCGCGCGATCCTCCGCGCTGCCGGTCGCGCAGTTGCTCTCGAGCAGCGACTTGAGCTCCGCGAACTTTTCCTCCGCCTCGGCGTACTTCCCCGCGTCCTTCGCGGATTGCTAGTCGAGTCGTCGCGGGGTGGGGTGGACGGCGAGAGAGAGCGCGGGGGGGGGACGTCAGGAGGGACGATCTCGACAGCTGCGCGGCGTTCGACGACGACGACGACGACGCGAGACGAGATCGGACGAGGAGAGAAGACGGGAAGCGAGGAGAAGAGAGAGAGAGAGCGAGCCCGGGACGCACCGCGGCGCCGCCGAGCACCTGCATCCGCGCGATGAGCGCGGCCTCGTCGGTCATCACGACGAGACGACGCGCCGCCCCTCGTCTCGCGCCCCTCGTCTCTGAACTTCAGAGCAGTGAAGAAGACGTCGAGTTTTTCTTTGAAAAAAAAATGCGAACCGCAGGAAAACCGACCTCAGCTATCAGCTGGAAAACCGTTGAAGTTCTGATGATGCGACCGGATGTCTCGCGTCGAAACGTGTCACGCGTTTTGGTGCGGGATGTATCATACGAAGGTGATGACACCATTTGCTCTTCGCGCGCGTCCACCGCGCCGAGATGGACGACCCCGCGCTCGCGTGCGGGACCGCCGCGCCGCCGCGCGCGAACGGCGCGACGCGCGCGAGCGTCGTCGAGCGCGGGTCCTTCGAAGACGTCGGCGCGAGGTGCGACGCCGTCGACGTGCTACGAACGACCTCCCGAACTCTAAGATCCGCCAAAGGTCGCCACCGAACTCTAAGATCCGCCAAAGGTCGCCAGTGGTCTAAGAACGACCATCCCGTCCTCGCTCCCGACCGACGCGCCCCGCCCCTCCCCCTCCTCTCCTCCTCCGCCGTCAGGTACGCCGCGGCGCAGTGGCCCTGCCGGAAGAACGAGGACCGCGTGCACGTCTCCGGCGCGATCCCGGGGCTGTGCGACGCGGTCGTGCAGCTCTACGACTCGCACGGCGGAAAGTACGCGGGTCAGGCGCGTTCTATCCCGTCTCACGCTGGTCCCCATACGACCGCGCCGCGTCGGCGGGGTGAACGCCGTTCCTTGAGACTTTTCTTCCCGGCGCATCTCTCCGCCCAGGGTCCCTCGCTTTCAATCCCGACGCGCCTCGACGCCTTTCGACGCCAACCGACGCCTTTCAACTCCACCCGGACATCGTTCGCTCGCATGGAATCCATGGACCCCCAGTTCTGCGTCGACCAGCTCGTGCCCGCCATCGAGGAGGCCTTCTTCTCCGCGCCGAGCCACACCAGGTTCGCGCGCGACCGCGACGCGCTCCTCGCGCCAGAGTTCCTCGACAAGCACGGGTTCCATCGCGGGTTCGACGACGCCGTCGTCCGCGCGTTCGCGCGCGTGGACGAGGAGGTGAAGGCGGATCATCCCAGCGGCACCACCGCGGCGCTGCTCTTCGCGAAGGCGCGTTCGTTCTCCTCACACTAGTCCCCATACGACCGCGTCCGCGTTGTGAACGCCGTTTCTTAAGGACTTTGCCCGGCGCATCTCTCCTCCCACCCCTTGTGTTCAATCCCCGACCTCGACGCCTTTCAACTCCGCCTGACGCCTTTCAACTCCACCCCGATATCATCGCTTCTCAGAAAAACGCCGACGGGGACGTGTGCGTCAAGATCGCGTGGTGCGGGGACTCCAGGGCAGTCATCGCGCGCGATCACGATCTCGCGCGTATCCTCGACCTGACCAGAGACCACAAGCCCGAGGATGAGTCGGAGCAGCGGCGCATAGAGTCGCACTACCGACGCATCGCGGGCGACGATTCGTACGGACGCTCGCACGCGTACTCGCCGAGCCCGGAGGCGAGTACGCGAGCGGGGACGCGGGGGATGCCCGCGGTGGAGGTGAAGATCGGGCACAGGGATCTGTTCGCGTCGTTCGAAGCGAATAGAGAAGAGAAGGAGGAGACGGACGAGAAATCGAAATCATTTCGACGGCAAGACAGCGCCGGTGAGATCGTCGACGAGCCGCCGACGACGACGACGCGGGCGCGAACGCGCGCGCAAACGCAAACGCGGCGGGCGAGCGCGGTCGAGATCACGGACGTCGTCCTCGCGGAGATGCGCGCGAGCGCGAGCACGCCGTCGCTCGAGGTGATCGAGCGAGAGGGCGAGAGCGAGCGCGGCGCGACGACGCCGAGCGAGACGCCGCGGACGTCGCTCACGACGTTTTTACGGCGCGCGGAGCGATTCCCGGACGAGCTGAACGACGCTTCGCAGGAAGAGGAAGAGGAAGAGGAGGAGGGAGAAGCGCGCGACGTCGCGGCCGCGCTCCCCGCGCACGCGCACCCCGCGTTCGACCGCAGCCGGAGCGGCAAGCACGGCGCGCACGGCGCGGGGACGCAGATGTCCTTCGTGGGGTGTTACGTCGACGCCGCCGGGAAGTCGCTGTCGAGAGAACGCGTCTTCTCGTCCTCCGGGGACTCGCACGGGGTGTCGCGGAGCATCGGCGACCGCGGCGCCGCGCGCGCGTGCGTCTCTGCGCCGGAGATCAACAACGTGCGGATACCGAGCGGGAAGGGCGCGCGGATCGTCGTCGCGTCGGACGGGGTGTGGGATTGCTTCGCGTCGGCGGCGGCGATGAAAAAGGCGCGTTCGTTCTCCTCACACTGGTTCCCATACGACCCCGTCGGCGTGGTGAACGCCGTTTCTTAAGGACTTTTCCCGGCGCGTCTCTCCGCCCATCACCCCTCGGTTTCGATCCCCGCCCGCGACGCCTTTCAACTCCGTCTGACGCCTTTGAACTCCACCCCGACATTCGCGTTGAAAAAGATGGCGAGGACGGCTGACGTCGGCGCGGCGGCGTCGAAGCTGTGCGCCGCGGCGCGTCGACGGCGTGAGTACGGCGGGCTCGCGCCGGACGACATCAGCGTGATAGTGTTGGACGTGGGAGAAAAGCGTAGCGGCGGCGGCGGTGGGTGTTTCGCGTGCCTCCGCGGCGGCGGCGGCGCGGCGGCGGCGCGGTGACAGACATCGCGGCGACGAATCGCGCGCCCGCGTCGAGAGTGCCCGAGCGCGCGGCGCGTGAACCTCATCGAGCCGTCGTCGTCGCGCGCGCGCACGTCGCGCGCGTTCTACTACAGAAAAACAACGCAACGCCCGCCCAGCCGCCGTTTCCTCGCGCGTCCGCCCGCCGCCGCGCGCCGCCGCCGCTCGCTCACGCCTCCGCGGGGTGCCCGCACGGCCGGCACTGATTCCCGATCGCGCCGTCCACCATCAGCGTCGCGTCCAACGCCGTGAACCCCTCGTACACCGCGGTGAAGTGCTTCACCGCGTGCTCCACGTCTTTCGCGCCGCACATCTCGCGGACGCTGTGCATGCTCAGCTGCGCGGCGCCGACGTCCACGGTTCGTATCCCGGTGTTCGTGGACAGCGTCGGGCCGATCGTGGATCCGCACCCGAGGTCGCTGCGAACGACAAACTCTTGCACGGGCAGCCCGGCCCTCTCGCCGATCTCTTTGAACAAGTACGAGCTCACGGCGTCGGTGGCGTACCGCTGGTTCGCGTTGTGCTTCACGACGACGCCCGCGCCGAACTTTGGCTTGTGCCCGGGTTCGTGCTTGTCCGCGTAGTTGGGGTGCACCGCGTGCGCCATATCCGCGGAGACGACGAAGGATTTTCGACGCGCGCGTTCCTCCACGCCTTCTTCACCGGGGCCCGCTGCCATTCCCGCGGAGAGCGACGTCGTGATGCGACGCATCGCGTCCTCGGTCATGGACGACCCCGCGCCCTGCGCGCTGTCGCTGCCGACCTCCTCGTGGTCGTAGTGCACCATCATCCGCACGCCCATCTGAGGGTCGTTCCGTACGAGCGAACGTCGGGGTGGTGTTCAAAGGCGTCAGTTGGCGTTGAAAGGCGTCGAGGGTGGGGATTGAACGCGAGGGACCCTGGGCGGAGAGAGACGACGGGCAAAGTCCTTAAGGATCGGCGTTCACCACGCCAACGCGGTCGTATGGGGACCAGTGTATAGAACGCGCCTCAGTTCGCAGCGACGACGATTTCGCGTCGCCGCTGGCGTCGATCAACGCTCGGAGCGACGCGAAGCACGAGACGAGGTTGTCGAGGCGGCCGGAGAATATGAACTCTTTTCGCGCGCCGCCGATCGCGGACGGCTGGACGTCGCACAGCTGCAGCTCGAAGTCCAGGATGTCGTCCGCGTCGCACTCGAGCTCGTCCGCCAGGAGGTCGAGGAGAACCGGGTGGTGCTTTTCGCCCTTCGCCTTCTTCGCCGCGGGGGAAGATGAATCGTCAACCGTCGCGCCGCCGCCGCCGTGTCCTAACGCCTCCTCGACCGCGCTCGCGATCACCGGCGCCATGTGGCTCTGGAAGTTCACCTTGAACCCCTCGTTCAGGGACCTATTTCATCGCGAACGTCGGGGCGGAGTTCAAAGGCGTCGTCAGTCAGTCGGAGTCGAAAGGCGTCGAGGCGCGTCGGGATTGAAAGCGAGGGACCCTGGGCGGAGATAAATACACGCCGGGAGAGAAAGTCCTTAAGGATCGGCGTTCACCACGCGAACGCGGTCGTATGGGGACCAGTGTGAGGAGGACGCACCGGTCGAGGTGGATCGCGAGCGAAGGGATGCGCATCACGGGTCGGTCCACTTTGACGACCGCGTGCCGCGCGGCGCCGCCCTTCTCGCGCACCAGCACGCGCCCGGCGACGCCCAGGTCGCGATCGAACCACGTGTACCACAGCCCGCCGCCGTAGTTTTGCGTCCGGACCTGAGGGTCGTTCCGCGCGAGGCGAAGCGAAGCGACGTACGTCGGGGTGGAGTCGAAAGGCGTCGTCAGTCAGTCATCAGTCGGAGTCAAAAGGCGTCTCGGTCGGGGATCGAAAGCGAGGGACCCTGGGCGGAGAGATGCGCGCGCCGGGAGAGAAAGTCCTTAAGGAACGGCGGTCATCACGCCAACGCGGTCGTATGGGGACCAGTGTGATAGCAACAGACAGAACGCGCCTGAAGGAAGTCCGCGCTCGTCAACTTCGTCTGCGGCTTCAGCTTGGGGCACGGCGAGTCCGTGTGCGCGCCGATGACGATGAACCCGGAGCCTGGGGCGTACGCGCCGCCGACCGCGAACGCGCACACCGCGGACATATTCCGCGTGAAGAAGTACTTCCCCCCCGGCTCGAGGCTCCACGCGTCGCGCTCGTTGATTTCCTGATGACGACGGCGACGACGACGCGGACGGGACGGGGGAGGGGAGGGGGGAGGTCGCGTCAGGATTTGACATCCAACCGGAGATCCATCCGATCCAATCGTCGTCGTTCGGGGCGACGGGATCCCGCGCGCGTCGATCGAGGGGACGCGCCGTGAACCCGTTCGCTCGGAGGCGCGCGCACGACGCGAGGACGGCGTGGTACGGCGTCCACGCCTCGTTGAGGTACGCCACGCAGTCGACCGCTTCCGCGGGGGGGTCGGGGACGGGCGCCATCTCAGCGATGGCCGATCTGACGTGATGAGAGTTGTTTTGCCGAGCCTCGTCATCGGGGCGAGCCTCTCGATCGATCGCCCCGATGACGCATCCGTGGTCCAACGGTCGGCGCGATCAACAGGCGGTGCAGTACGGTACGCGAAAAAACTACTCCGTGACTGCGCGCGAGTGCGGATCTCGGATAACTTATGATAACTGTATCTGCGGAAAAATTCCCGTGACTCAACCTGCCAACAACTTTTCCCCGGCGACATCGTGGGTTATCGAGCGCGACGGCGCGGCCGGAAGACGCGCCGCGCCGCACACCACGCCGCGCACGCCCGCGTCGACATCGTCACAGAGAAGGAGCGATGCACGCCGTCGCTCAGTCCGCGATCGCGCGTCCCGCCGCGCGCGCGCGCGCGTCCGCGCGCGCCGCGAACGCGACGACATCGTCCCACGCGTTCGCTGCCGCCGCGCCGGCTCGAGCGAACGCCGCGCGCGCGCGCGCGACGGCATCGGCCGCGCGCGCGTCGCTCGACGCGCGATCGACGTCGTCGCGCGCGTCGTCGTTCACGTCGAACGCCTCGCTCGCGAACGCGCTCGCCTCGCGCGCGGTGAAGACCTCGCGCGGGCGCGTCGCCGTCGTCGCGAACGCGTCCGCCGCCGCCGGGTGCGCCCGCCATTCATCGCTTCAGCCTGCGCTTTTTACTATCGATCCCACCAGTGCCTCTCGGACGCGCTTTCTCATCCCGTCCGACGCGGCCTCGCGCGCGCGTCGCCGCGGCTCGCGTCGACGCCGCGGTCCGCATCGCGCGTCGTCGCGTCGCGAAGAGCGCGATACGAACGCGCGCGCGATGCGGACCGCGGAGACGGCGCGAGCCGCGCCGCCCCCCCGCGCGCGCGAACCCCCTAAAAGAATAATCCGTTCCCCGCTGGCACACCTCAGCAACTCGCAGAGGTGCCTGTTCTGACACACGCCGTCAAATCCAAATCGCCCCATCGTCTCTCCCCTCATCGTCGCAACAGGAACCCCGTGACGGCGTTTCTGAAGAAGAACCCCGCCGCGGAGACCGCCGCGTACTTCGCGCTGTGGTACTACCTCAACATCCAGTTCAACATCATCAACAAGCAGATCTACAACTACTTCCCGTACCCGTGGTTCGTCTCCGCGGTGCACCTCGCCGTGGGTTTGCTCATCATGACGTTTTTTTGGACGACGAGGCTCGTGAAATTCGAGACCCCGGACTCGGAGTTCATGAAGGACGTGACGTTGCCGAGCTTCCTGCACGCGTTCGGGCACTGCCTCACGAACGTATCGTTCGCCGCGGTCGCGGTGTCGTTCACGCACACGATCAAGACGCTCGAGCCGGTGTTCTCCGCGGCGGGTGCGTTTCTTTTAATTCTTTTATTTCTCTCCTTATTTCGTCGCTTTCGATCGCCGCCCGCGCGCGAAGAAGCCAAGCCTTTCTTTCTTCGACCTCCTCCGTCTTCTGACGCCTTTCTTAAACAACTCAACTCCACCCAACCCAGGCACGTACCTCGTCTCCGGTACGGTGTACGCGTGGCCCGTGTACGCGTCGCTCATCCCCGTCATCGGCGGCGTCGCGCTCGCGTCCGCGACGGAGCTGTCGTTCACGTGGCTCGGATTCTCGTGCGCGATGGCGAGCAACGTCGCGTTCTCCGCGCGCGCCATCTTCAGCAAGAAGCTCATGTCGCGCATGTCGCCGCTGAATCTGTACAATTTCGTCACGATCGTCTCGCTCATGTTTTGCATCCCGTTCGTGTTTATCTTCGAGGGGTCGACGATCATGGCCGGGATTCAATCCGCGGTCGCGCTCAAGGGCCAGAAGGAATTTATCATCGCCCTGCTCAAGTGCGGCGCGTTCTATCACTTGTACAACCAGGTGGCGTACCAAGCCCTCGGGAAGGTTGAGCCCGTGACGCACGCCGTCGGCAACGTCGGCAAACGCATCTTCGTCATCGGGTTCTCGATCATCGCCTTCGGGAACAAGATCTCGCCGCAGACCGCCGTGGGCAGCGCCATCGCCGTGTTAGGCGCCGGGTTGTACTCGTACGTGAAGAACAAGTACGCGGACCAGACGAAGCAGATCAAGTCTGACTGATGAGAGACTTGCCGAGTTCGAGTTGGTTGGTAGCGATGCGGTGCGATGGATGATGATGATGATGATGATGATGATGATGATTCCATAGAGCGGTGATGGATGCGACGACGTCTGGCGTCGGAACCCCCGGTAATACTTGTACGAGTTGGCGCGTCGCGAGAGGTTTTTTTTCGGCGCCCGGTCCGTCGGCTGGGCGGACGGGACGCGGTTTTGGCGGCCGTCGGCGTCGTCGACGTCGGTCGTGTTTTTTTTCAGTGGTTGGGAGAGCGACAAGCGGTCGAGTGATGAGTCTTTAATGACGAAGAGAGACAGACTTGTTGTACACGCCAGTCCCGTCCCGTCCCCCGTGACTGCTAAAAAAACACTCGACTCGACCGCCCCTCCGTCCCCCGTCGAACGAACGAACGAACGAACGAACGAACGAACGAACGTCGAATCACTCGAGCTTGCTCACGTCGGGCGGCCCCTTCGGATCGAAAAAGTACGACTCGCTCGGGTACTCCCGGTTCGCGTCCATGATGAGGTCGTACAATACCTTCAGGCACCACTGCCGGTTGTGCTCTCGGTTCCTCGACCGCGTGCACACGATGCGAATTATGTTGTGCCTCGGGTCGAACCTCCCCGCGGCGTCGCACACGTCTCTGATGTAATCCAACGCGTCGTCGCTCAGGCCCGTCTCCTTCTGCAAATCCTTCAGATGCACCCACAGCACGATCTTGCGGTTCTTCGGGTGGTCCATCCGACCCCCCGCGCTCTGCACCATCGTCGCCTCCCAGTTTAAGATCTGTTTCGACTCCTCCTCCGGCGTCATGAGCTGAGGGCCGTTCCATACGAGCGAACGTCGGGGTGGAGTTGAAAGGCGTCAGAAGCGGAGTTGAAAGGCGTCGAGGTGTGTCAGGATTGAAAGCGAGGGACCCTGGGCGGAGAGAGACGCCGGGAAGTAAAGTCCTTAAGGATCGGCGTTCACCACGCCGACGCGGTCGTACGGGGACCAGTGTGAAGGAGAACGCGCCATGTCGTTTTCGTAAATCTCGATGAACTCCTCGATGCTCACGTTCGGGTCCGCGCCGGGCTGATTCGCGAGCCAGAGCTCCTTCTGATGCTCCCAGTACACGCGGCACCACTCCCTGATGTCCTCCTCCGTGCTCGTGTCCGTGATCTTCGCGAACTCGCGCATGTTGTACAGCGCCCCGGATTTTGGTACGGTGTCCGGCGCCGCTTCGATGTCTCGCAAGATGCCCTCGTAGTTGCCCTTCTGCGCGCGGTTCAGCTTCTTCGAGCTCTTCCCTCTGAGCCAGCTCGGGACGAACGACGGCGCGAGCTCGTCCGGGGGCAGGTCGTCCGGGTCGATCCCGCCCGTGAGCGGGTCGCCCGGGTTTAGGGGATCGTTCGGGTAATTCGGATCGGGGTCCGGGTCCTCGTCGTGCGGCGTGCCGTCGGGGATCGCGTCGGGCGGCGGCTTCCTCTCCGTGGCCATCCCGCGCGCGCCGCGAGGCGGCTGATGCGGCGGCGGCGGCGGCGCGCGGCCGGAGATGGACGCGCCGAGCGACGCCGTCGATCGCGTCTGGTACGATCGCTCGTCGATTCGCGGCCTAACGCGATCATCGCTCGGCGTCGTCTCCGTCGGCGCGGATGAGAAGGAGGATCGGCCCGCGCCGTCCGCCGGGCCGCCGCGCGCGGTCGCCGCCGCGGAGGACGCGAACGAGCGCGACGATCGCGACGACGACGTCGCGCGCGCGTCGTCCCCTCCGGCGATCATCGCGGACGCGCAAAAGCACCGGTCCATCGAGCGCGCGCCGCCGCCGGTCGATGGTGACGCGATGCCGGTCGATGGTGACGCCAGGATTCGCCGTGTCATCGCGGCGGCGCCGTACGCGACGCGTCGCATCGCCATCGCCGACGGTCCGTCCGGTCGGACTACGCGCGATCGGTCGACGCGAGCGGCGCGCGCGGGCGTCCTTCGCTCTCGAGGAAGGCGAGCGCGGCGCGGGGGGTGCGCGGGTGGGTGCGCGCGTCGAGGCTCGCCTCAGCGCCCGCTCCTGTGGGACTCGGCGGAGGGGAGGACGGACGGTCGTCACGAGCGAGGTTTTCTTGAAGCGGGCGGCGCGGCAGGGCTGGACGCTGCCAGCTGTCGTCTCTCGTCGCGTCGCCACTTCCGACGACGCGCGCGATGCTCGCCGCCACGACCGTCGCCGCCGAGCCCCTCCGCGTCACCGCGCGCCCGCGCGTCGCCGCGCGCGCGGCGGCTCGCGCGCCCGCGACGACCGCGCTCTTCACCAAGACGAAGCCGCCGCCCGCGACGACGAAGAAGGCCAAGCCGCTCGGCAAGAAGAACGCGAACGATCGCGGGGGCGCGAAGAAAAAAATGTCGCAGGGCGAGAGCATGAAGGAGATGTCGTCGATCGTCGCGCAGGCGTTCGCGCTCGGCCTCGGCGTCCCCGTCGGCGTCGTCGCGCTCACGGAGGCGTCGAAGCAGCTCACCGCGGGCGCCGACGGCGCGGTCGCCTCCGGGGACCCCGGACTGTACTCGTTCATCGCCGCGTCCGTCGGGTTCGCGGGATGGTGGGGGGCCAAGTCGGCGGCGAGGGACGAGCTGAAGCGATCGCTGCTCGCGAAGGGGCTGGACGTGAGCACCGTGGACAACATCTCGGTGCTGAAGTGGGTCAAGTCGCAGGACGACATCGGCAAGGGGAAGCGCGCGATCGACGAGATTTACAAAGCGTACGAGACGGAGGCGAACCCGTGGTCGCCGTTCTTCAAGCCCGTCGGCGCGGTGCCGGACCGAAAGAAGAGGTGACGATGACGGATGTGTTTTTTTTTAGGCAAGTCGACGCGCCGCGGCGTAGGACGGGGTCACGGGAGAGCGAGCGAGCGTCTCGGTCGTCGTCGTTCGATGATGCTAATGGCTAAGGTGATTGCTGCTTTATTCGCTCGCTCGCGCGTTCGTCGGTCGTCGAGTCGTCCGTTCGCGCGCGCGTTCGTCCGCGTCGCCGCGCGGATGCGGATGCCGGGCGGGACGGATCGGATCGTCCGTGGATCGTCACTCACGTTAGATCCACCGTCGTCTGCGACCCGCCGTTCTCCGCGGCCACCTCCATCCTCGCGCGGACGCGCCGTCCGACCCCGCTGGACCTTCCCGTGGGCCCGCCGTCGCCGCCGCACGGCGTCGGGGATACGCCGTCCGTCAGGTCGATCGCGATGACGCCGCCCGCCGCCGCGCCGCCATTCCCGCCGCCACCCGGCGGAAGATTTTTCTTCTTCGACGCCGTCGTCGTCGTCGTCGCGCCGACCAAATCCACGTGCGTCACCTCCGGCGGGCGGTTCGCGCGCTCAGCCTTCTCCCTCGCCTCGCGCTCGCGCCGCGCCCGTCGTGCCGCGCGTATCGCGCCAACCTCCGCCCCGCCGTTCCCGTGCGCGCCGTCGAGCGCGTTGTTCAGTCCGCGCCACGGCGCGAAGTTTCCTCGCCCGCCGTCGCCGCGGCCGCGCGCGCCCTCCATCCCGTCGTCGAACATCCCCGCGGCGAGCATCGCGTTGAAGTCGTCGAGATCGAACTCCATCCCCACTCCCGCGGCGGGAGCGGGAACGGGAACGGGACCCCCCCTCGCGCGGCGCGCGGCGCGGTTATCGCGGCGATTCGGCGCGCCGCCGCCGCCGCCGCCGAAGAGCGCCTGAGGGCCATTCCATACGAGCGAATGTCGGGGTGGAGTTCAAAGGCGTCAGGTGGAGTTGAAAGGCGTCGAGGGCGGGGATTGAAACCGAGGGGTGGGAGGAGAGAGACGCCGGGAAAAGTCCTTAAGGATCGGCGTTCACCACGCGAACGGGGTCGTATGGGGACCAGTGTATAGAACGCGCCTGAATCGGATCGAAAAACGCGGCGGCCGCCAAGTTCGCCTGCTGCTGCTTCTTCTCGCGTTCCGCGATCGCCTTGTCCTCCTTCTTTTGCCAGTGGCGAAGCTCGCGGCTCGTGATCCCGAGGTCCGCCAGCTCCGTCTTGACGCCCTCTAAAATTTTACTCTGCGTCTCCCCGTCGTGTCTCTCCAGGTACAGCACCAAGTGCTTGCATCGCCGGCGTTTCTGCGACTCGTCGAACATCGCGCGCGTGCCGTACGTCGTGCCTTGCCCCGCGAGACCGCGCGCGCCGCCGCCGCCGCCGCCGCCGCCGCCCGCCGCCTTCTCCTTACTCTTCATCGCCTTCAGCGACGCCGCGCCCTCCGGGCACGATCCCACGTGCGCGTGCGCGTCTTTGCCGCAGTCCGCGAGACAGTACGCGCAAAACGCGGCGCGGCAGCGGCTGCAGTTGAGCGCGAAGCACCCTTCGAAGTCGACGAAGGCTTGCGTGCAACGCGGGCACGACAGCGTGAGAATCTTTTCGACGACGTGCTCGCGCGCGCCGCGGAGTCTCTCGCTCGCTTCCGCGGCGTTCCCCGCGCGCTGGCGCTCGAGCTCGACGCGCTGTTCCATCTCTTTGCGCATCTCTTCCGCCTGAGTGGAACGGAACGGAACGCGCGGGGGTGAGGGGAAGTCGCGCGCGTCAGGGGGACGGAGCGGATGGATTGATTCGCCGCGGATCTGACGACGAGAGAGACGACGGGCGTGAAAAAAGAGAGAGAGAGACGACGGGCGTTCTTCGAAGAAGGAGGGATCGCGCGTGGACGCGCCATCGCTTCCTCGCGTATCTTCTCTCGCGCTCTCAGGTACGCGGCGAACGCGTCGTTGCTGACGTTCTTCGCGATGTCCTTGTCCGCGAAGCACGTCGCGTTGCAGCGGTCCGCGCCTTTCATCGCGTCCGTGTTGAACGGGCAGAGGATCCGGCCCTCGCGCTTCTTGAGCTCCCCCAACGACTTCCCGCTCTCGCTCATGACGTACGCCTCGAAGCACTCGCCGCAGGTGTAGTGCGTCTCCGCGCACAGGATGCCGTCGCACACGGCGCCGTCGACGAAGCAAATCGTGCACGTCTGCGTGGAGGGAGGGGTGGGACGGGGGGACTTGAGAATATATTCGAAAGCGCGAGGGGTGCACACAAACGCGTCGAACGCGTCGCGTCGCGTCGCGTCGGGCGCGACGCGCGCGCGGGGTCGCGCGAGTCGCACCTTCTCCTTCGCCGACGGCATCGCGACGAGACGAACGCGCCGCGCCGCTGCCCCTCGCCTCGCGCGGCTGGCGCCCTCGACGGTGCCGTGAATAATGCCTCTGCCGACTCGGACGACGCGACGTGTTGACTGGCGCTGCGCTCGATCGCGACGACGACGAATGCGAATCTTCGTAAACGGAATGTCGAGAAAAAAGAGGCACTCCTCAAGCTAGGCCCTACGTCTACGCCTTCGCGGTCTCTCTCGCGACTACCGCGCCCCTACGCGAGCCCCCCCGCGAGGATATTGCTCGCCTCCTCCGCGCCCTTCCTCACGTACTCGCGCCCGCCGACGCCGCCGCCGCTCGGAAGTCCGCTCGTCAGATCCTTCGAGCGCAACGCCGCCCCGAGACTCGCGCGCAGAGCGGCGAGTTCCTCGCCGCCTCTCCCGCCGCCTCTTCCGCCGCCCCCTCCGGAGCCTCTCGCGGCGATCGTCTGAAACAGCGCGTGCACGTCCCCGCGCTTGGCCGCGGGCGCGGAGAGGATCGCCTGGAGGAGAAGCCGGTGGAACAGTTTCGAACGCGGCGACGAAGGAGTACCTCCTCGAGCGCCGAAACCGTCTCCGACGAAATCGCACGCCTGCGGGCGGGGTGATGCGATCGGCCGAGGGAAGACACGCGTCAGTTGAGCGGGAATGTGATTGGCAGGTATCATTCACGCGTGACAACGCGTGTGGTTCCCAGCGCGCGAAAGGAAAGAAGTCCTCAAGAAACGAAACGACGCGCGAGACGCGAACGGGGACGCGCGGGAAGCGGTCTGACTCGCCTTCAACGCGACGGGCGGGAGCGCGTTCCAGACCAACAACCCGGCGAAGAACCGCGCGAGGTTGGCGATCCTTCGAACGGACACCGGAGGCGGCGCGTCCCTCCCGCGGTCCTCGGCTATCTCCGAGGAGGAAGCCGCGGGCGAAATCTCGCGGATCTGGTCCCAGACGCACAGCTGCGTCGTCATCCGATGTTTCTTCACGCGTTCGCACAGCTTTCTCGCGAGGACTTCGTAGTACGGATTATACGCCTTCTCCTGGAGGCAGCACTCGAGGAGCACGCGAGGGATCTCGCGGTCTTGCTTATCCGCGAGAGGTAAGCGAAGGAGCCGGTCGAGCGCGTCCGCGTAGTCCTCGGCGCCGACGACGACGCAAAAAATCGCCCGCCGCGCCTCCGTGTTCATCCGCAACCCTCTCGCCTTGTTCAGCAGCTCCAGACCCTCAGGGTCGAGGGTCCATACAAAGCGACGTCGAGGTGGAGTTCAAAGGCGTCAGAAGCGGAGTTGAAAGGCGTCGAGGTGTGTCAGGATTGAATGATGCGAGGGACCCTGGGCGGAGAGAGACGCCGGGAAAAGTCCTTAAGGATCGGCGTTCACCACGCCGACGGGGTCGTATGGGGACCAGTGTATAGAACGCACCTCACTCTGCGACGCGGCGCGCGCGGCGTCGCCGGCGCCCTGGCCTCTTCGCGCGGCGAACCACGCGTCCGTGCCCGCAGCCTCGGGCAGCCACCACTGCCCTTTCCGCGTTTCCGCGCGCTGAAGTCGGTCGTACGCGAGCGCTCTGAGCGCGACGGCGGCGTCGCCGACGGCTGCGGACGACCGCAGCCACTTGCTCATCGCGGTCGGGAAGCCCCACTGGTCGTCTTCGGCGCCGCCGCCGCGCTCGCCGTTCGCGTTCGCGACGGGCGTCGTTTTCTTGTTGTTTTTCAGATCGACGACCATGTCGAGCATCAACCGCGCGCGACGCGTCAGCCCGCCCCCGCCCCCGCCCGCGGCGCCGTCGCCGCCAGCTGTACCGCCGGCGCCCGCCGCGGTTAACTCCGCGACGCGACCTTGCAGCGTCACGATGAACTCCTTCATCCCCGCGGGGTCCTCGTGCCTCAGCCTCGACCCCGCGGCGCGAAGAGTCCCGAGCATCAGCGTCGCGTCGAGCTCCGTGAGCGTCCGAGAGAGCTCTTTGAGCAGCCCGTACACCACCGCGGAAGGGAAGAGGCCGCACACGAAGAGCCGGGAAAAAACCGCGACGACGTTCGACGCCGCGCGCGCGCGGTCGTCCGCGCGCGCGACGCGGAGCGCGTCCACGAGCGCGGCGCCGAAGCGCGCGGCGATCTCCGGCCCGAGCTCGCCGGCGAGACCGGCGATGAACCCCGCGAGCGTGGCGGCGTAGCGTTCGGACGCTTTCGGTCCCTCGACGAGCGCTTTCATAATCTCCGTCGTCGCCGCGTCGCCGACCGCGCGCCTCGGGATGCTCCGATCGCCGCGCGCCAGCGACGCCGCCTCGGCGACGATCGCCGCGACGTTAGCTTCGCCCACGCGGTTCACGAGGCCGCGGAGCGCGCGAGCGGCGTCCGCGGCGGCTTTCGCGGCTTTCGCGTCCGCGGCGGCGGTTTTTTTTTCAGGGCCGTTCTATACAAGCGAACGTCGGGGTGGAGTTGAAAGGCGTCAGTTGGCGTTGAAAGGCGTCGAGGGCGTGTATTGAAACCGAGGTGTTGGCGCAGAGAGACGCCGGCAAAAGTCCTTAAGGATCGGCGTTCACCACGCGAACGCGGTCGTATGGGGACCAGTGTATAGAACGCACCTCATCCTCGCTCGCCCCCCCGGCGGCGGCGGTCGCCTCGAGCGCGGCGAGCGCGGCGGCGCGCTGCGCAGGCGGGACGTACTTGCCCGCCGCCGCCGCCGCCGCTCTCGGGGGGTTCTCTTCCTCGTCCTCTGCGACGTCCTCGTCCTCTTCCTCGCTCTCATCGTGCGAGTATTCGCCCTCGTCGTCCGATTCGGAGTCGACGTCGGGCCCCATCCCGAACGGATCGTCTTCGTCGTCGTCTTCGTCTTCGTCGTCGTCGTCCTCCTCTTCGTCCTCCTCGGCCATGGCGTCGCGCTTCGCCGCTCGCGCGCGTTTCTTCCCCGCGCTCTCCGCCGCTTCCCTCGCGGCGCGTTTCAGCGCCCCCTCGTCCCCCTTGCCGCCGTCGTCGTTCAGGAGTTCGAGCCCCGGGAGCGCGTCGAAGAAGAACCCCAGCCCGTCGTCCTCCGCGCCTTTCCTGCCCTTCAGCTTCTTCATCAGACGCTTCTGTTCCGCCTCGTCCGCGCGGTACGCCTCGAGACGCGCGCGGCCCATGCGGTCCTCCGCGCTGAGCTTGATTTTCTTCGGCGGAAGCTCGGTCGGCCGCTCGGCGGCGTCGGGTTTCGCGTTCGCGTTCTTCTTCTTCGAGAGCTTCGCCGTCGCTCGCGCGTCGTCGTCGTCGTCGTCGTCGCGGCTCGCGCGTCGCTTCTTCCCCGGCTTCGCGTCGCCGTTGTCGTCGTCGTCGCCGACGCCGCCGCGTTTCTTCTTCCCCGCGCCGCCGCCGCCGCCGCCGCCGCCGCCGCCGCGAATCTCGTCCGTCTTCTTCGCGCGCGCGCGCCGCTCGCTCCACTGCCTTCGACGCGCCTTCTCCTCCTCCTTCGCCCTCTTCCGCATCTGCTTCCTGTCGAGCGCGCTGTCGCGCCCGCCTCTGCCGCCGCCGCCGCCGCGCGTCCCTCCCGGGCCGTCCCTTCCCCCGGTGACGCTCCCCTCGAATCCGCTTCTCGTCGCGCTCTTCTCGCGATGACCGACGCCGCCGTCGGCGAGCTGCTCCGCCTCCTCGAGCTCGGTCGCGAGCGCGCGCGGGAGCGCGGGGCCGTTGTGCTTCGCCTTGCCGCCCCTGCCGCCGCGGCCTCCGCGGCCTCCGCCGCCGCGGCCTCGACCGCGGCCGCGGCCGCCTCCGAAGCGACCCATCGCGGCGTCGTCAGCAATGGCCGTCGCGTCTCGGAAAGGACGAAGATTTTTAGACATCAGATTATTGGCGTGATATTCAGACGTTCGTTTATTCTCTCGTGCCGCGTTCGTTACTCGTTCCTCGCGCTTGCTCTTCGCACGCTTTGCGTCGGCGCGGGGCGTCGTCCTTCGTTCCGTTCCGCGCGCGTTTCGTTCCGTTCCGTTCCGTTCCGTTCCGTTCCGCTCGTCGTCGTCGTCGTCGTAGTCGTCGATTTCCTTTCTTTTTCGTTTTTTCTCCGCCGCCGCCGCTCACGCGGACGGCGACGTCGGCGCCTCAGCGCGCGTCTCCCCGAACCGGAACCGCGGCGGCGGCGTCTTCACCGTCGGCACCGTTGCCGTCGTCGTCGCGAGCGGCGGCACGCCTGCGTTCTCCTTATCCGGAGCGTCGCGCTCTTTCTCGTCCGCGCGGCGCTCCGGGGAAAAACCCGCCGCCGCCGCCGCCGCGGTCTCCTCCTCGCGCGCGGCCTCGGGTTCCTTCCACTCCGTCCCTCCTTCCAGCTCCTCGGGCGATCCTCCAGGCCCGGACGGCGGCGCGAACGCGCTCGCGGTGGCGGGCGGCGGCGTCCACGCGCCCACGAGATGCGGCTGCGGCTGCGGCGGCGGCGCGAAATACGGCGACGCGCCCGCCGCCGCTGCCGCCGCCGCGACGGGGTCGTACCCCATAGCGTACCGCGGGTCCCACCACGCGCCGCCTACGCCGCGGTGCGGGTGGCCGCCGATCGCCGCGACAACGTGCGCGTGCGGCGGCGCGTGCGCGTGCGCGTGCGCGTGCGGGTGCGCGTGCGGGTACCACCCGTTCGCGCCCATCGCGCCAATCGCGGCGTTCCAGTCCGCGTGCCAGTCCGCGCCGAACCCGTGGTGCGCGCTGAATCCGTGCGCGCCGGCTCCTCCCGCGTGCGCGTACCCGGGGAACCCTCCGCGCGCTCCGGGAAAAAACCTGCCGCCGCCGCCGCCGCCGTTGCCGTTCCGCCAGCCGCCGCCGCCGCCGCCCGCGCGGCGGCGCGCGGCGGCGGCGCGCGCGGCCCCTCGCGCGTCCCACGGGAACCCTCCGTACCCGCCGACGACGTCGCCGCCGACGTCGTCGAGCAACGATGACACCCTCGCGCCGCCGCCGTTAACGCCGCCGCCGCGGTACTCTCGGAATATGTTCAGCACCAGCGCGCCCTGCGCGGGCTCGATCTCCTGCGCGTCTCGCGAGTTCGGCACGGGCTTCTTATCCCCCGCGCACACGCGGATGTGCCGCAGCGCCGTGTTCGGGACGTCCTTCACGATGTGCCACTTCACGGCGAATCGCCCGGGCCAGCTCGCCGCCGCCGCGGGGGGCAGAAGCGTCGCGTCGACGGCGTCGTCGTCGACGGGGGACGTCATCTCCGCGACGCCGCAGAAGTGCCCGCTGGAGTTGACGGAGAAGAACAGGATCACGCGCGGTTTCGAGGGGGGGGCGCCAGAGGAGCCCGGCCGCGAGCAGGGCGCGATCGTCGTCTTCGTCGCGGACTCCGCCGTCGCGGGCGTCGCGTCGTCCAGGAGCGGCGGGCCCGGGGTCTGCGTGTCCACGGATCGCACGGACGGCTCGTCCGAGTCGGACGCGGGCTCCGCGTCGGAAGCCGGGTCCGAGCCCGAGCCCGAGCCCGAGCCCGAGGAGGAATCCGCGGCGGCGGCGGCGGCGGCGGCGGCGGCGGTCTCGCCCTCACCCTCACCCTCGCGCTCGCGCTCGCGCTCGTCGTCGCCGTTCTCGTCGTCGCCGTGCGGCTCGAACGTGAACACGTCCTCGCCGCGCCACGCCGCGTCCAGACGCGCGTTCCCTTGCGACGTCGATGTCCAGCACCCGTGCTTCACGCTCTTCCGAACGTCCTCCTCGGCGAAGGATTTGATCACGAAGAACCGAACGTCGCCGTCGCCGGCGTAGAGATCGTCCAGACTCGCGCCGTCGTACGCGCTCGGGTCCAGCGTGTTCGAGAGCCGCGTGCCGTTGATCATCGCCTCTCTATCCGCGACATGCCAGAGCGCGTCGCGAAACGCCGGGTCCGAGTTCGCGGCGCCCGCGCGGAGGCGGCGCGCGCGCGCGGGGAGCGGCGGCGACGCCGCGCCTTCGCCTTCGCCGCCTTCGCCGCCGCCGTTCGCGTGCATGAACGTCATGGACAGCGGCGGCAGCGGCGCTTCCAGCGGGCGGGTCTCGAGCGGCGGGCGCGTCGAGGCGGGCGACGCGGGCGTCGTGCCGCCGAAGCTGACCGGCGTCGGCGTCGGCGTCGGCGCGGGTTCGGTCGTCGTCGGCGCGAGCGGCGCGAGCGACGTCGGCGGCGGCGGCTCGGACCCGAGCGGCGGGAAGTCCGCCATCGCGGCCGCGCTCATCGCCGTCGTCGCCGACGCGTTCGCGGTCGACGTCGACGCGCGCGCCGGCGGCGCCAACCACGCCCGCATCGCCTGCGCGTACTCGAGGTTGTACGCCACCGCGGCCGCGGCGAGCTGCTCCGGGCTCCTGGGCGTCGCCGCGGGCGGGAGAATTTTCGCGACGGCGGCGACGGCGGGGTCCATCGCCGCCGGATCGAGATCGAGCGGCGCGGAAGACGTGTCGCCGCTCGTCTTCGTCTTCGTCTTCGTCTTCGCCGCGCGCCACGCGATAGTGTCCTCGTCCGCGTCTCTCGCCGCGCCGCCCACCACCGGCGCGAGATCCCTCGCGTCGTCCTCGGGTTTCATCTCGTCGGCGCCGCCGCCGCGCGCCGCACAGCTGTGCGTCGCCGGCGGCGGCTCCGTCGCGGCGGCGGCCGCGGCGGCGGCCGCGCCGCTCGCGGCGTATCCCAGGCCGCTTTTCGCCTTCATCGCGCCCGCGGCGAACTGCAGAAACGTCCCGCCGCCGAGCGCGCCGGGGTTGTACCCCGCGGTACCTCCTCCTCCTCCGCCGCCGCCGGGCCGGAACGGCTTCGCGAGCGACCAATCCTTCGGCGACGGCGGCTTCCACGCGCCGGCGCGGATGTCGTGCGGGTACACGTGTTGGCCTCGCGCGTTCGTCGCCGCCGCCGCCGCCGCCACCACCTCCGCCGCCGCGATCGGGTCGTCGATCATCGGCGAGGGCTGGTAGCCGCCCGGGGAGTTCCCCGGCGTCGGCGGTCGAAACGGAGAGAACCCGAGCGCCGCGGACGGATCCATCGGCGACGGGTCCGACGCCGACGCCGACGCCGCGCCGGGGGAGGGGCTCTGCGCGATGCGCGACGCCGCGGCGATGACGGCCGCGGCGGCCGCCGCGGAGGGAGGCGCGCCGATCGCCGCCGCGGCGGCGATCGTCGCCGCCGCCGCCTCGGACGCCGCCGCCGCCGCCGCCGCCGCGGCGTCGGCGTCCGAGGCGCGCACAGCTGGCGCGGACGCGGCGTCGTCACGCTCGGCGTCGTCGTCGTCGTCGCCGCCGGCGCTCTCCGCGAGCGCTTCCGCGGTGTTCACGGAGACGGGGGACGGAAGGAGTTTCTTCTTCGGCGGCAGCGGCGACGGCGACGGCGCGGGGATCCACGCCGCCTTGGACGACGCGCCGGGCGCGGGCGCGGGCGCGGGAGGGGGCGTCGTCGCGCTTTTCGACGCCCGCGCGACGGAGGCCGCTTCCGCGGTACCGTTACGCTCGCATCGCGGGCGCGGGTGCGGCGCGCGCGCGGGCGCGGGCGCGATACGCGCGCGCGCGTGCGGCGACGACGAGTCGACCGAAGATTCTGCGATGGCATTTAGAGCGGGATGGGGAGCGCCGTCAGCCCGCGGCGTCGCGACGCGCGGCGGATCTCGCGCATCGTGTTTTTTCTCGGGCGAAGCCGGAGCTCCGGAGTACGAGGGTGCGCCATCGCGGCGGATCTGCGCGACGCGCGCGGGTCGGGAACGATCGAAACGACGGAACATCACGCACCGGCGGTCTCATCGGGCGAAGGGACGTCCGCGCGCGCGCCTTCCTCGGCACTTCGCGCGCTCCCGCGCGGCGCCATCGTCCTTGACGGAAGCGCGTCGCCGCGCGCCGAGCGACGAGAATAAAGTCCGGCTCAACAACGAGCGAGCCGGCGTCGTCGTCGTCGTCGCGCGCGAGGCTCGTCCGCGACGCGACGCGACGCGACGCGCGACGCGCGACGTGCGATCGAACTCGACGTGCGCGCGCGACGCGAAGAGCCTCGCGCGCGGAAGAGTGCCCGTGCGCGCCGCTCGCGGTGTCGTCGGCGTCCGCGTGCGTCGAGGACTGACGCGCGATGCCGCGAGACCGCGTCGGTGATCGCGAGACCGTAACGCACGCGCTCGCGCTCATCGAGTCGATCGGAGTCGAGGCTCGAAACGAGGTCTTTCTGCTTTATGCGATATTTAATAGGTATTTTCGATCGGTTCTTCAGTGCGCAATTAGTCTCAACTTTTCGCGAGCCGAGTGCGGTGAAGAGTCGCCGGATGACCGGTCGTGCTGCCTACAACTCCTGAAGCGTCGCGTCGCGCATACATACACTATTTCGACTCCAACGTACAGCGTACACGTGTATCGTATAGGTTATTATTGAGCGCATAATGTACGATACGTATGCGTGTCAAAACGGAATTTCCCCAGGTAAGAAGGATCGTGACACACCCGCCGGCACTCCCAGGGGCGGCTGGCTCCTCGCGCGCGGCGCCGCACTCACCGCGAGTCATGCCGTCGCGAGGGCGTCGCGGACGCGCCTCGCGCGGCGGGGACGAATACGTCGGCGACGCGTTCCTCCTTCAGGCGTCCGTCGTCCTCTGCGCCGCCGCCGCCGTCGGGTGGACGGTGCTCCAAATCGCGCTGTACGGCGGCACCGAGCCCGCGCTGATCGTGATTCCGCTGCTGTACATCGCCGGCGTCGCCGCCGCGATCGCGTACGAGCGGTTCTGGTGCGTCCGTCCGCCCGCCCGCCGCGTCCTCTCGATGACTCGGACGGCCGCGTCCCCGGACGCGCGTCCGCGCGACGCGCGCTTCCTTCCCGCGCGAACGGAATGTGTCTATAATAATCCTCCACCTCGCGTAATCGGGGACGAATGTCCACTCGCGCGTCGCGCGCGCGCCCGCGCCCGCGCCGCGATCGACGACCGTTTCTCATCACCCTACCCTCGCGCGTTCGCAGGCTCAAGCGACGACCGTTCGACACCGTCGCGTTCGCGCACCTCTCCGGGATGCTCCTCCTCCCCGCGCTGCTTCAGATGGAGTACGGCGGATTCCAACGCAGCGGCGGCGTCCTCGCGTGGTCCTCCGTCTCGCCGTTCACGGCGATGCTCTTGTACAACGATAACGTCCGCGTCCAAGCCGTTACCTTCGCGGGTTTCGTGTTCATGTGCGCGGCGTGCTTCTTGCACGAGAGCCTCAACCGCGCGTACGGGGAGGACGGCGCGGCGATCGCGGGGGACCACGTCGTCAAGGTGTGGCTGTGGCAAATTTACGTCTACGCCATCGCCACGGTGATCGGCGTGACGCTCAACGCGTGCGTGCTGATGCACCTGTGCATATCGAAGAGTACGAACGCGATAGAGGCGCACAAGGCGTTGGCGTGCGCGATCATGCCGCCGCCGGTCGCGAAGGAGGTGTTCGAGGTGCAGTGGAAGCGGCTCAAGGAGGGAAAAAAGATGCAAAAGCAAGAGTCGCGCACGTGGAAGAACGCGCCCGCGAGTGGCGCGAAGAAGAAGAACGTATTCGCGCGCGTCATCAACGCGATCGTCGCCATAACGTTCGGCTCCAGCGGCTCCGGCTCCGGCGGCGGGAGCAGCGCGTCCGAGTCGCGGTCGCGGTCGCGGCAGAGCTCGAAACGGAGCGGCATGGGCTTATCGTCCATCGGGGGCGGCGGGGGCGGGGCGAGAAGCGACGATTTTTGCGACGACTCCACGCACGGCGGTCGCGCGCCGAGCGAGCGGTCGGAAGGGGACTTGGACTCGGACACCGCGAGCGCGAGCGATGGGAACTCCATGCGCGGCGACGACGCGTATTTACGCGCGATTCAGACCACGCAAGCGTTGCGAGCGCCGAGCGAAGATACGATCGCGTTGCGCGACCGCGACCTCGACGTGTTCTTTGAGGGCGCGCCGGACGACGCGGGCGCAGACGCCGCGGGGGAGGACGTGAGTTCTCAGAATCAAATTGAGAAGCCGCGCCGGCGGTCGTCGATCTTGTACGGCAAGCCCGGCGTCTCCGGGGGGGGCGGCGGCGACGGCGACGGCGCCGCGGCGAATTCGCTCCGGCGGCAGAGCACCTTCCGTAAGCGACGCGGCGCGAGCGTGAAAGCCAGAGAGCACAAGGACGTGACCGTGATCTTCTGCGACATCGTCGGCTTCAGCGCCATGTGCAAGGTGGTCAAACCCTACAGGGTGTTGCGATTCCTCGAGACGTACTTTCAGATGTTAGATGACGTCGCCGAGGAGCACGGCGTGACGAAAGTCCGCACCGTCGGCGACGGCTACCTCGCCGTGTCGGGACTCATGGCGGAGATGGGCGTCAAAGAAGACGCGCGTCAGCATCGTCTCCGCGCGCTACACTTCGCCGCGGGCGTTCTGACGTACATGAAAGACGAGCGCGTCTACATGCCCAACGGCGTGGAGGTTAAGATTCGCATCGGCCTCGCCGCCGGTTCCGTGTACAGCGGCGTGGTCGGTCGGACGTGCATGCAGTTCGACATATACGGCGACGTCGCCAACTTAGCCGCGCGGATGGAGCAGACGTGCCGGTACGACGGCGTGCACTTCCCCAGGGCGATGTACGACGCCATGAAAGGGGAGCTCTCGGAGGAGCAGGGGCGGACGTTCGACGCGCTGAAGTGGGAGTTTCGCGACGGGGTGGAGATCAAAGGGATGGACGCGATCGACACCGTGTCCCTCGTTCGCGACGGGAACGAGGAAGCGATCGAGATGGAGCTCATGGGGGGCATGAGCAACGATCAGCAGCGCGCGGTCACGACGCACATCGGCGTCCTCGCGGAGGCGTTTCGACAGAAGAGCTGGACGACGACGAGAAAACGGAGCGTGGACGACGAACGCAGCGAGGACGGGAGCGAGAATAGCAAAGAGGACGAGCCGGAGAAGCCGAAGAAGCCGCCGACGCAGCGGCAAGTGTCGTTCAGCGTCGGGAACGTGCCGTCGCTCGCGCGGCCGTGGGAGCTCCCGCCCGCGGAGGACTGACGCCCCGAGCGTCGACGGCTTGGCTTCTTTGGGGTTATCACTCGTAGATTATCACACGTACCGTGTACATTTGACTGCGCTGTATTGTGAAAGTACTGTTTTGTTGTATTGGGCAAAGTAAGATGTAAGACTAAATACGATCTACATGAGCTTAAACTAGGGCCTACCGTACGACGCGCTTCCTATCGCGACGACGCGCGGAAGTCCCCGCCTACGAATACTTATACGGCGGCACGAGCGTCTCTCGTCGCGGCTTCACCTTGAGCGGGTGCGCCTCGGTGTTAAACACCCACTCGTCCAAGTCGATGACGTCGCCGTCCGCGAAGATGAGATACATGTACTTCATCGTCTCCGCGATGAAGAACGACTGCATCGTGTCGTCGTTCGTCGGCGGGTCGCGTCGCACGTCTTTGATCCCCGCCCACCCGGAGTCCGTCTTGTAGTGTTTCCGCATCGCGCAGAACATATTCCACGCCCACTCGCGGTACATCGGATCCCCGGTTTTGCGGTACATGTAAAATATCGACTCGATCGTCTCCGGTCTCTGCAGGTTGTGATTCACCTGATTCACCATCCGACGCCCGCGCGGGGTCCCGCCGTTCTCCTTCTCGTACTTCGCGAAGCTCACGACCTCCGGGGCTAACATCGTGGGCTGAGACGTATACATGCGGTAGCACATTTTCGTGATTTCCGCGGCGGCGGCGACGTATTCCTTCTCCATGTCCGACCCGTGCGCGCCGAGGACGAGCATGCCTCCGACGAAACACGCGAGATGATCCATCTTGTGATGCGCGCGCCCGTTCCACTCCGCGACGTATTTCGTGCCCTCTTCCTCCCCGGGAAAGACTAAGTGCTCCAGCATCGCGCGCATCGACTCGTCCCACATATCGCTCCAGCCTCGGAGCTCCCTCGTCCGCCCTCCCATGACGTACGTCTTGAGTAGGTACTCGAAGAACGAGTCGCCCATCGCTCCGAAAGACACCGCGCCGGAGCTCCACTTCAACTTCCCCGGGTCGATGGACATGGGATATAATCCTCTGGGCACGGTCCCGACGTCGCCGCGGACGCTCTGCACCTTCGCGATCGGCGTCTCCGCGAGATCGGACCACCGCGGATCCCCGACTCTGTCGGACAAAGAGACAAACTCCAGCGAGAGCGTGCCGAATTCCGCGAGCGGACTGCTCCCGTGCGCCCACCCCGGGTGCTTCGCGCGTCCGGTTTTCAAGTTTACGATCGGGTACGGGATCCCGGACGCGGTCGCGAACGCGGGCTTCAACCGCGTCGCGAGGTTCGTCGCTTTGTTTATATACATCTCGTCCCCGGAGAGGTCGTACGCGGCGAGGACGCCGCCCAACACGCGAATCGTCGTCTCGAAGACGCTCGCGTCGCGGTCGACGTCGAAGCTCAGCCGTCTCGAAACCCACTCGCGCGCGCGGCCGTACTCGTCCGATAATCCCATGATCCACAGCGTGTCCAGCGAGTCCACGATGGTCGCGCCGAGGCCGCCGAACGCGTTCTTCCCGAGTTTCGCGCGCGGGCGGAGCTCGTCGTCGCCGAACGCGTATTTTTCGTAGTGCGCGTACGCGTCTCGCGTCGCGTCTCTCACCGCGTCGCGTCGCGCGACGTCGGCCACGATGTCTCGCGCCCACCCGCCGTAGGGAACGTCGCCGCGTTTCGCGGCGGCGCCGCCGTCGCCGGTGACGACGACGCCGCGGTCGTTCCGCCGCGGAAGCGGAAACGACCATTCTTTCGCGGGAGCGAGCCTCTCCGAATCCCGCCGCGCCGCGGAAACCGCCGCGTCCGTCGGCGCCGGCGCGGAGAAGATCTTCGCCTCTTCCTCGCGCGCGGTCGCCTCCGCGCGCGCGTCTTGCTTGGTCATTTTTGCTTCTCCGTTCCTCGGCGGCGATTTCGGCGGCGGCGGCGAGGAACGGAGAAGCACCGCGTCGACGCGCGCCGCCGCGGCGTCGACCGCGTCCGCGAGCGTCTTCACCTCGTCCTCGAGCGCGGCGGTTCGCGCGTCGACGCGCGATCGCAGCTCGTCGACGCCGCTCGCCGTTCGCGGCGACGATTGATTCGGCTGGGAGGCGCCGGTGCCGATTACGGACGGTCCCTCGTCCGCGCGAATGCGCTCTGCCGTCGCCGCGGCGCTCGTCGCCGTCGTCGTCGTCGTCGTCGTCGTCGCCCCCACCGCCGCCCTCCCCTCCGCGCGCTCCCTCTTCCCGCCGCCGCCGCGGAGAAGCGTCGTCGCCGCGAGCGCGAGCGCGAGGAGGAGGAGCGCGAGCGCGACGACGAGCGATCGGACGCGAGCGCGATCGCGGCGTCGCGCGCGGAGCGACGTCCCACCGCTGGCGGTCCCTCGCGGGCCCGTGTTCGGCGGGCGCCCGAGGATCATCGCTCGCGCCTCCGCCGCGGTCGCGACGCCGCCGCCGCCGCCGTCGCGCCGCCGCCGCCGCCGTCGCGCCGCCGCCGCTCCGCGACGCGCGACGCGCGCGCGAGTGCGCCGCGCGCCCAGATTAGTTAGACGCTCTCTCGTCCGTCTTGTGCGCAGAGTGCTCCCGTCCGCTTCGACGCGCCGCGCGCTATTTCACCGGCGCGCGCGATCAAATATTTGAATTCTGACCCGCGCGCGGTTTCAACCGAAATCTTTGATCGACGCATCCCGCACGTGTTTACGATAAATCCTAATCCACCCTGGCAGAAAGTGAGACTGAGCGCGGCCGCGGCCCGCGCGGGTAGGATCTATGAGGAGTGTTACAGACGGGCGCGAACAGAGTGGCGTGGCGGCTCCCAAAACGGGTGATCGTCATTCTCGACGCGCTTCCACGCCGCCCCCCCCCCCCCCCGCTCAGCATGTCCGACACGCAAATGACCACCATCGCCCCCAAGGTCGAGGAGGAGACCGCCGGCCCCGTCTGCGAGGCCGTGATGATGCAGCAGCCCGTGATGATGCAGCAGCCCGCGATGATGCAGCCCCAGGTGATCATGATGGGGGGTCAGCAATTCAAGACCCCTCCGGAGTGCTGCTTCAAGTGCTGCTGCCCCATCTGCGCCGTCGTGTCGCACGAGGGCTGCGGCGGCCCCGCGATCTTGGCGCTCTTCCTCGGCTGCTTCTTCACGAACTGCTGCTGGGCCCCGGCGCGCATCCCGCTCTAAGCGGCGCGCGCGGCGGACGAAGTTCGAACGGTGCGGTGATTCGCGAGCGAGAAACGTCGAGCCCTATTCTACGATCTTGGAATCGGAAAAAAAATATCTTTGCGCGTCCGTGTTGGGAGACGAGGAGTGATCATTTTAGATGAGCTAGGAGACGTGAAGCCTGAGCACAGGTCGATGACGGGTTTAGCCTGTCGCATTATCTAGCGGTGTAATTTAATCCGGAGAGCAGACCAAACCGCGACGGACGGCGATCGGACGTGGCAATTCTTTTCTTTTTACTCGTATCGCCCGCAGAGATTTTTTTCGCGAATCCGTTCCGTTCTTTCTGTTAACGACTTTTTTACAGTGGTCTAACTGGCTGATGAGGCGCGTTCTATACACTGGTCCCCATACGACCGCGTCCGCGTGGTGAACGCCGATCCTTAAGGACTTTATTATCTCCCTTATCTTCGTCCGAGTCGAGAATGTCTACGCGCACGCGCGCGCGCAGTCTCACGAAAGCTCGAATCCTTTCCCTTCCGCGAGCGCGTACCTGAGCTTCTCGCGCATCGTCGAAGACCGCCGGTAGTTTGGCAGCTTCAGCGTGTTGAAACACGTGCTCGCGCTCGGCAGCCGCGCGACGTCCGCGCCGAACCCGAACGCGGCGAACGCGCCGTGCTCGCCCACGACTTTGTGAATCGTAAACGGCGGGTGCAGATGCTTGAACCCCTGCACCGGCGGCCGCGTCGACCCGGTGGTAAACTTGAGGAGCGCGCGCCGCTGCGCCGCGTCCATAGATCGCACCGCGGACCAAAACATCGCGACGCTCTTGCTCGACTTGTCGTACCCGCCGCTGTACCGCGCGTGCGTCCTCAGGTCCTCCACGTCCCAGTCGTCGCGGCAGCCGCACAGGAGGAGCGAGAGCTCGTGGGTCTCGAAGAGGCGCAGCCACCCCGGGTGCGCGCAACGCGAGAGCCCGCGCGCGAAGGCGTCGTTGGCGCGCGCCCGCCGCGCGTTCAGGTAAAAGTCCGCCACCGCGTGGACGTACGCCATGCGGTTGTCGCTCGTGACGGGCACGTTCGCGCCGTTCGGCCGGAGTTCGAACGCGGCGACGGCGCCGAACTTCGATTCTTCCACGGTCCAATCCAACGCGAGGTCTCGCTCGACGTCGCCGTCGTATCGAAGCACCTGTATGAGCGATCGGTGAAGCTCCGGGTCCAGGGACGGGAGGTCGTCGATCGTCCGCGGCGCGCCGAGCAGCGCCTTGCTGAAAAAATGCGCGAGGTTCGCCTCGGCGAGGATTCCCTCGTACAACGCCTTCCCGGTCATCGTCCCCATGAGCTCGACGATCTCCAGACCCTCGCGCGTGTCCCCCGCGTCCGAGCACGGGTACAGCGCGCCGTCGCTCGGCGCGCTCGCGAACACCCCGCGGCTCGGGTCGAACCCCGCGGCGAGCACGTCTGAGACGAGCTCTTTGAAGAGGCCGCCCGCGTCGATGCCCGCCTCGTCCCCGCCCGCCGCGTTCACGTATCGCACCGCGAGTCGACCGCGGATCGCGTCGCCGAGGCGCGGGATCTGCGCGAGCGCGTCCTCGAGGAGCAAATCGCGGCGGATCGTGATCTCGGCGACGGGGCGGACGCGCTGGCCCAGATCGGCGGGGTTTGCGTCGGCGCCGCCGGCTTGCGCGCCGTACCCCGCGGCTCTTCTGTCCTCCTTCACGAGCTCGCGGAAGATTCGCACGCGGTACTCGAAGGGAAGCGCGTGCGGGCAGTCCACGAGGAGGCCCGCGCCGACGGCGCTCGCGGCCTCGTCGAACGAGGCCGCGTCCGCGTCCGCGTCGAGGTCGTCGCCGTCCGCGAACGTCTTCTCGTGCGTCTTCCCCCGCGTCGTCGCGTTTTTTCCACCCGTCGTACGCTTCCCGTCGGAGCCGCCGCCCCTCGGGGTCGTTCCATACGAGCGATGATATCGGGGTGGAGTTGAAAGGCGTCAGAAGCGGAGTTGAAAGGCGCCGAGGGGTGTCGGGATTGGAAGCGTGGTGCGGGCGGAGAGAGACGACGGCAAAAGTCCTTAAGGATCGGCGTTCACCACGCGAACGCGGTCGTATGGGGACCAGTGTACGTGTAAGGAGAACGCGCCTCAGGTGCGCCGCGAGCGCGCTCGCCGCGGCGGCGACCGGGATCCTCGCCGCCGCGTCCGCGGCGGGGGCGAGCCACAGCCCCACGGGCGCGAACTTCCTGCGCGAATCGCGCGTCCGCAGCGCCTTGCTGAGCGCGCTCGCGCCGCGCATTAAACGCGCGCGTTCCCGCGCGTCCTCCGCCTCAGGGTCGTTCCATACAAGCGAACGTCGGGGTGGAGTTGAAAGGCGTCAGTTGGCGTTGAAAGGCATCGATGGCGGGGATTGAAAACGGGGGGTGGGCGGAGAGACACGCCGGCAAAAGTCCTTAAGAAACGGCGTTCACCACGCGAACGCGGTCGTATGGGAACCAGTGTATAGAACGCACCTCAGCCCCGGATCCCGCGCGCCGCCGCGTCAAAAACGCATTTCCTCCCGGCGTTAAATGCGTTCGCACGACGATCGTGTTCACCGCGACCGCGATCCCGCGCTGTTCGCTCAGCGAGAACGGCTTCTGCGCGGAGTAAAACTCGTCGTCGTCGAGGACGAGGAGGAGGTGCGCGTAAGCGAGGCAAAACACGCCGAGCGCGGGGAGTTCTCTGCGCGGGACGTCGGCGACGCCGCGCGTGAGCGTCGGCGCGGTCCACGCCCCCGCGCCGGCGCCCATGCCTCTCTCCGTCATCGGCAGCTCGCGCGGGGCGGGGAGTCGCGCGGACACGCGACGCCATGAACGCGCGAGCGCGTCCGGCGCGAACGCGACCGCGCCCAAGAGCTGCCGCGCGTCCGTCGCGGTCGCGCCCGCGAGCAGCCGCCAGTACAGCGACTCAATCGCGGACGCGGTCGTCTCGTCGTCGGCGTCGTCGGCGGCGTCGGCGTGGGCGCCGCCGCCGAGCGCGACGAGGAACCACACCTCCTCCAGCAGCCCGAGCGCGCCGCGCCTTCGAACGTCGCGGAGCGATCCCCACGCCCACGCGCCTTTCGTCTGCGCGCGCGCGACTAAGACCTCGCACGCGCGCGCGAGAAGCGCGGCGTTGTCGCCGCCGCCGCCGCCGCCGCCGCCGCCGTCGTCGTCGTCGTCGTCGTCGTCGTCGCGACCGCCGCGGCGGAATCGACGCAACCGCTCGCGCGCGTCGCGCGCCGACCCGCGCCCGGTCCCGCCCGACCGCCATCCGGTCGCGAGCGCGAGGACGTTATCGAGGAGCCACACTTCCGGCGCGTGCGACGACGTCTCGCCGCCCATGTCGCCGTCGCCGTCCGACGCCGACGCGCGCGCGTTTTCGAGCCCTTCCAAGACGTGCTGTCTTCCGCAGTCTTCATCTTCAGCCACGACGAGCCCGAGCGCCGCGACCAAGAACCGCGGCGAGGCCAACGCCGCGGCCGTCTCGCGCGATATCTTCCGGCACAGAAGCGGCGTCGTGAGGACGTGACGCGTCACCGCGCGCGTCCCCGTCCCGCCGCCGCTCTCGCCGCCGGAAGATACCGCGTCCACGACAACCTTCGCGAGCGCGGCGGCGTTGTCGTCCCCGCGCGCCGCGAGCCGCGCGAGCGCGACGCACGCGCGAACGTGCTGCCTCGCCCCCGCGGGCGTCGCGGGGTCCACGAGCGCGGCGGCGGCGGCGGTGGACGACGGACCGGGGCCCGGCGCGGCGTCGTCCTCGTCGCCGCCGCCGCCGCCGCAAACGTTTTCGCGGAGGTGACACCTCCACGCGGACGCGTCGTGGAGCATCGTCACGAGCCTCGCGGCGACCGCGGGGAGCGCCTCGCGACGCTCTCTCGCCTTCTTCGCGTCTGCTGCGGGTTCGGTAGTTTCAAATTCCGCGACGGTTGACGTTTCATCTTCCACCAGGACGCCCAGCGCGAGCGCCGCGACGCGGCGCGCTTGCGTCGTCCACGCGTCGCGCGTCGCGGGGTCCGCATCGCACGCGAGCGACGCGTAGTTCACGTCGCTCTCCCGCGCGTTCAACGACGCGATGAGCAGCGCGAAAACGCGCAGGAGCCTCGCGGCGCCGACGCGCGATGCGCCGAGGTGGAGCACCGGCGGAAGGAGGCGCGCGAGGGCCTCGCGCGCGGAGGGCGGGTCGACGGTCGTCGCGAATCTGGCGTCCCAGGATGCCAGCAACGACGCGCGCGTCGTCGCGCGTTCGCGTCGGCCGCGCCACGCCGCCTGCGCGGCGAGGACGCCTCTCAGGGTCTCGCGCGTCTTCGCGCGCGCGGCGCGGTCCGCGGCCGCGCGCGCGAGGAGCTCCTCCTTGCTCTCCCCGCGCGTCTTCGTCGCGACCGCTCTCGAGTCGAACGACGACGACGGCATCGCGCAGTACGTACTCAGCGGTGGCGTTCGCTCGCGCGCGACGCTTCGCGGCGAGCGACGCCACGCGGCGACCGAACGCGGAACCGTCGACGCGCGCCGCCGCCGCCGACCGGACGTGGGCGTCGTTCAGACGCGCGCGCCGCAAGAGAGAAGAGGAAGCGACCGCGGGGCGACGTCGACGCCCCGCGCGCCCGAGAGCGCGGGAGATTCTGTTCGACGCTGACGCGGGAGACTCGTCTGGTCGTTCGGAGATCCGCCGATACGAATTTATCCATCCTGTGCTGTGGTGCTGAAATTCGATCATCGCGGGCCGCCTCGACGTCGTGGGTATTTTATACTCCGTGCATTAAACAGAAACATGGTGACGAAGCGCCCTCGCTCCGGCGTCTAACTGCGGAAAGAAAAAAACTGTTACACATTCCTCGCGTCGCCCCCTCCCTCTCTTATATTCCTTCCCCGTGCGGCCCCCTCCCTCCCCGAAAAAAAGAATAGACGTCGACGAACGAGACGTCTCCGACCGATCGATCGATTTCCGATCGACTCGACTCGAAATCTCGACTCGACTCGACTCACGCCCCCGGCGGGTTCGCATACGGATCGACGGTGCCGTCCACGGGCGGGCTCGCCGGCGGCGGCGCGCCGTACTCCGCGTCCGCCGCCGTCGCCGCGTCGACGGCGGCGGCGGCGGCGGCTTCGTTCTCCTTCGTCAAATTCGCAGCCGCGAGCGCCGCGTTGTACTCCTCCATCTGCTTCTCGTACTCCGCGAGCTTGCGCTCGTACTCCGCGTACGCCTCGGGGTCGTACTGCGACGCGTCCCCCACCGCCGCGGTCGTGGACGTCGTGGACGTCGTCGTCGCCGCCGCGGGCGCCGCCGCCGCCGCGGGCGTCGCCGCCGCCGCGGGCGTCGCCGTCGCCGTCGTCGTCGTCGTCTTCCCGATCGCGTCCAGCTGCGCGGTGAGCTCCGCGGCGACGTTCATCGTGCTCCCTTTCGCGGCGAGGGGCGTCGCCTTCGTCTTCGGGACCACGATCGGCTTGGGTTTCTCCCACAGGAGCACCTTGACGCTGTCGGGACCGAGCGGCCCCGCGTAAATCTTACCGCCGTCGTTGACGAGGAATTGCCCGGCGCCCGGCGCCGGCACCGTCCCCGGTGGCGACTCGACGAGAAGGTCGGTAAACTTCTCCCCCTTCCTCGCCGCGGCGATGCCGTGCGGCAGCGTGATCTCCGGCCACGGGTCCACGGAGTAATCGCCGCAGTTGAACACGAGGCAGCCCACCGCGGTGACCTCCTCCTTCTTCGTCTTCGGATCCGTCTCCTTGACGTACCTCGTCACGATGATCTGGTCGTTCGAGAGGAGCTGAATGTCCTCGATGTCTTGCGTCCCGTCGATCCCGAACACCGGATGCTCGCGTCGGATCTTGATGAGCTTCTTGTTCAGCGCGACTCTCGACACGCCCACCGCGGGCCACGTCGCGGGCTTGGCGCAGTCGAGCATCGGGCGCCGCATGGCGTCGTCGCCGCCCGAGTGCTCGTCGGTGCCGTCCGCGGGGGTGCCCTCCATGCCAAACTCGTCGCCGTAGTACAGACACGGGATGCCCTTCATGAGCAGCAGGACGACCATCGCGTGGAGGTAGTGCTTCGGGTTGGTGATGTTCGAAGCGACGCGAGGGACGTCGTGGTTGCCGAGAAAGTTGACCAGCGTGAGGCCGCTGAAGAGGCAGTTTTCGCGAAGCAACGCGTTGTAAAAGTACTCGTAGTTGCGATCGTTCAGCGAGAACCACGTAGCGTGCGACATCTGGTAGTTCGTGCCGGAGTGCAGGCGGTCGTCCCCGACCCAGTAGTTGTAGTTCCCGTGGATCATCTCGCCGACGAGGAGGCAATCCTTCCCCAGTCTGGTGTTGTCGCACACCGCGCGAAACTCGCGCCAAAAGTCGGGCTCGATCTCGTGCGCGACGTCGAGGCGCCACCCGTCGATGCCCACCTCGTCGACCCAGAACCGCGCGACGTCGAAGATGTGCTGCTTCACGTCGTGATTCTCCAAGTTTAACCGCGGCAACACCGGGTGCCCTTCCCAGCAGTCGTACGAGAACCCGCTGTCGCTCATGTCGTCCACGACGCAGTACCCTTCGAAATCCGCCTTCCTCGCGCCGAGGTGATACCACCCCGCGTATTGCGAGTTGGGGCCGTTGATCGTGAGGTCCTTGAACGCGAAGTGGCCCGTCCCGGTGTGGTTGAAGACGCCGTCGAGGACAACCTTGATGCCGTGCTCGTGGAGCTCTTTCACGATCTGTTTGAACAGCTTCACGTCGCCGAGACGCCGGTCGATCTCGAAGTAATCGAACGTGTCGTATCCGTGCGTGCCGGATTCGAACAACGGCGAAAAGTACACGGCGTCGACGCCGAGCTCTTCGAGATGCTTGTAGTGCTCGCGGATTTGTTTCAAACGCGGCGCCACCTTGCTCTTCTGGTCGTTCACCGTCGGCGCGCCGAAGTATCCCAGCGGGAAGATTTGGTAAAACACCGCGTTTCGCGCCCACTCCGGGAGCGTCGCCGTGTTCTTGATGGTGCTGCTCTCGGCGCCGTACCCCAGATCCCCCGGTCGCACCTCGTCAAACGCCGCGATCGCCGCGTTCAGCGCCTTACACGTCGGGTTCTCCGCGCCCCAGTCGCCGTCGGTCCAGACGTCGCGAATCGACTGCTCGGTGTGGTGATTACCCGTCGCGACGATGCGATCGGGGCCGCCCTGCCACCGCGCCTCGCCGTTCGGATTCCAGCCTTGACGCACGACGTACTTGTACTGCAGAAGGGAGAACTCGGGGAGATAAACCGTCGCGGTCCAGCGCGTGCCTGCGGAAGAGAGCGGACGGCGGGAGTAGATGGGAGGAGGAAGATAAGCGAGGCGTGAGGAAAGATGACAAGATGAAACGCGCGGCGAGGGAGCGAGGGACTCTGGGCGGAGAGATGTGCCGGGCAAAGTCCTTAAGGATCGGCGTTCACCACGCCGACGCGGCCGTATGGGGACCAGTGCGAGGAGAATCGAATCGATCATTCGCACCTTCGACCCAGTCCATCGGCACGCCCTTCGAAGGCACCCACTCTCCCAACAGCGGATGCTTCCCCACGATCGCGAGATGATCTCCAAAGTTCGTCTCCATGTCGATCGCGAACGTGACCTTCACCGGCGGCCGCGGCGGCGGCGGCGGCGGCCCCGGATCTTCCTCCTCGGGCTCCTCCTCCTCCTCCTCCTCGTCGTCGTCGTCTTCGCCGTCTGCGAGCTTCTTGACCTTCGCGAGCAGCTCGTCGTCCGTGAGGTCGGCCGCGAGCTTCTTCTTCTTCTTCTTCTTCTTCTTCTTCGTCTTCACCGCGGTCGCCTTCGCGGCGCCGTCCGCGTCGAGTTCGTGCTTGTCGTCGTCGTCCTCGACTGACTTCTCTTTGAGCTTGACCGCGGCGCCCGATTCTTCGGAAGCGTCCGAAGAAGCGGCCGCCTTGGCGACGGTCGGCGGGGTGGGCGCGCGACGCGACGCGGGGAAGCGTGCGCGCGACGATGGCGTCGCGCGGAATGGCTTCGCCGTCGCGACGAGGCGCGATGCCGACGGCGTCTGCGAGGGGAGGAGGGACGTGTCGTCAGCGCGAAGGCGCGCGGAGCGCGCGGATGAAAGAGGAGTCAGCAGGCCCGACGCCTCGGGGCGCCCCGGAGATGGGGGGGGAAAAAAGATCCGCGCGCGCGCGCACCGTCGCGCGCGACGCGAACGGCGCTTTACACGCCGCCGCGCGCATCAGAGAAGTGCTCGCCATCGCGTGCGAATCGATTTCGTGACGGCGCGCGTGTGCGTGCGCGCGTCGCGTGGTGCGCGTCCGTCGCTTCGCGCCGAGGGTTAACCAAAGATTGTCGCCCGAGGCAAAAAGGGTAAGGAGGCGGAAATTCTCTCGTCAGAGCCACGGAAAAGCCGCGCCGGATGCGATTTGATTGGCCGGATACGGGCCATGTCAGCGTATTAACGGCTAGTCTGCTGACTCGGCGTACACGTAGTACGCGCGGGCGTACTACATACGGCACCCCTGAGAACCCAACGTTTGGTTTTTGGTTTTCTCGCGTCGGCGACGACGACGACGACGCGCGCGCGAGGACCGTTCGATGGGCGGCGGCGGCGAGGACGACCGCGCGGACGACGCGGCGGAGACCTCGCGACGCGGCCTCCTCGGGTTGATCCTCGCGTCCTTGCTCTGGGCGGTTAACTTCGGCACAGGCGACGACGACGACGACGACGATTCGACGCGCGACGCGGAGGAGGAAGCGTCGTCTCAGTAGTTAGTGAGCGTCGAGATCTGCCGCGTCCGTCCGTCATGGCGACCGCGCGACGTCATCATCAGCGCGACGACGGCGGCGGCGGCGGCGGCGGCGGCCACGGCGACGCGTCGATCGCGCGCAGGGTCGTGATCCACCTCGACCTGGACTGCTTCTACGCGCAGGTCGAGGCGCGGCGATTGGGCGTCGACGGGACCTCCATCCCGATGGCCGTGCAGCAGTGGAGCGGGCTCATCGCGGTGAACTACCCCGCGCGCGCGTGCGGCGTGAAGCGGCATCACACCGTCGCGGAGGCGAAGAAGCTGTGCCCCGAAATCGTGCTCGTGCACGTGGAGACGTTGGGGAGGGACGGCGACGACGGCGGCGACGACGACGACGACGACGGCGACGGCGACGACGCGCGCGACGACGGCGACGACGACGACGCTCGACCTCCTCGTCCTCTTCGACCACTCGACGCGGCCGCGGTCGCCGGCGCAAAATCGCACGACATGTCCATGAACGACCGGCAGAACAGAAAGGTGTCGCTGCGGCGGTACCGCGCCGCGAGCGCGTCCATCATGCGCGTCCTTGCCTCCGCGTGTCCCCGCGTCGAGAAAGCTTCCATCGACGAGGCGTACCTCGACGTCACCGCGGAAGTGGACGAGATCACGCGCGTCGGTGGCGACGCGCTGACCTCCGCGATCGAGCGCGGCGTCGCCGAGAGCGGCGTCGTCGAGCCGCCGGACGTGCTCGCCAGCGACGTGGACAGACGGCTGGCCGTCGGCGCGAGCGTGTGCGCGGACGTTCGAAGGGCGGTGTTTGAAAAACTCGGATACACAGTCAGCGGCGGCGTCGCGCACAACAAGGTGCGTTCTATACACTGGTTCCCATACGACCGCGTTGGCGTGGTGAACGCCGTTCCTTAAGGACTTTTGCCGGCGTCTCTCTCCGCCCAGGGTCCCTCGCTTTCAATCCCCGCTCCCGACGCCTTTCAACTTCAACTGACGCCTTTCAACTCCACCCCGACGTTCGCTTCGTATGGAACGACCCTAAGATGCTCGCCAAGCTCGCGAGCGCGCGGAACAAGCCGAACAAGCAGACGATCGTGACGCTGCGCGCGACGGACGAGATGCTCGCGTCGCTGCCGATGCGGTCGATCAGAGGCCTCGGCGGGAAGCTCGGCGAGAGGGTGGAGAGCCTGTTGACGACGGCTTTGAACGTCGGGCCGGGGGGGCCCGGCGGCGGCGGGCGCGGGTCGTCGTACGAGGGCGGGTTCACCGCGGCGACGCTGTCGAAGTTGACCCACGAGGCGCTCACGAGCGCGGGGTTTGAACCCAAGACCGTGGCGTGGTTGACGCGCGTGTCCAGAGGCGAGGACGCGGAGCCCGTGACGCCGAACGCGTGCGACGGCGTCAAGAGCATCAACGCGTTTAAATCGTTCCAGCCTCTGACGGACAGGCGACGCGTGCACTCGTGGCTGAGCGCGCTGTCCAGTGAGTTGACCGCGCGGTTGATCGAAGACCGCGCGACGCAGCGAAGGACGCCGCGGAGTTTGAAGCTGGAGTACAGGGCGAATCACTTCCGCGAGAGCGACATGCAGTCCAAGTCGTTGCGGTTCCCCGCGGCGGCGACGGCGGCGCTCGAGCGCGCGGAGAAGGCGGAGAAGGCGGCCGCCACGTCAGCAGCCGCCACGTCAGCAGCCGCCACGTCAGTATCCGGCGGCGCGGTCGACCCCGACGCGGCGCGGGAGAAGGAGAAGGAGAAGACGGCGATAAGAGCGCACGCGGAGACCGCCGCCGCGGAGGTGGCGGCGGCGGCGATGGCGGCGTTCGATAAAGCCTGCCCCGGCGCGTTGCCGTGCACGCGGATCGGCCTCGCGGCGTTCGACTTCACGCCGCTGCCGCGGGAGGGGGGCGGGATCGCGAGGTTCTTCGGGAAGACCGCCGCGGAACCGGGACAGGGACAGGAACGCGCGGGAGGAGGAGGAGGCGCGACGACGACCGCGCCGCCGCCCGCCGCGAAACCGGAACCGAAGCGCGGGTTGAAGGCGTTCTTTCGACCCGACCCGGTCGACGACGGCGTCGACGCCGCGCGGGAGGACGTGGACGACGACGTGGACGACGACGTGGACGACGACGACGACGATGACGACGACGACGACGCCGCGGGGATTCTGAGCTCTGCGAGAGCGAACGACGTGGAAGACGGAACGTCGACCGGCGCCGGCGCCGGCGGCGGCGCGGCGACGTGCCCTCGCTGCGGCGCGACGCATCTCGCCGGGAGCAGAGCGCAACAGGAGCACGACGACCATCACATGGCGGAAGACCTCTCCATAGGCATTAACGGCAGTAGCGGTGGCGTTACGACGAGCGCGTCAGGAGGAGGAAGAATAGGAAACGGAAACGCGCGGGGGAGAGTCGCCGGAGTCGCCGGGAAGAGAAAAAAAAACGCGTCGAGCGTCGCCGCCAAGCCGATGACGTCGTTCTTCGCGAAGAAGCCGTAGTGTAGGGCGAGCTCGCGTGAGGACCGCGCGCGTACACGTAGTATCGATCAATCATCATAGACCCTAAGTAGTCGCTAAAATGTCCCTTCACGACGGACTCTCCGCTCGCGCGCCGGACGCGTTCTATACACTGGTTCCCATACGACCGCGTTCGCGAGGTGAACGCCGTTCCTTAAGGACTTTGCCCGACGTCCTCCCCGCCCCCGCGCGGCGTCCCCACGCCGTCACTTGATACAGCACCCGATGGCGGCTTCTAGGTTGTTGTCGTTCGCCGCGAGCGCGCCCGCGAGGACGTGCGGGGGAAACCCGAACTCGATCCCTCGCGCGAAGAACGTGCAAAACTCCGGGACTTTCGTCGGATCGTCGCCCCACATCGCGACGCCGAGGGCGACGGCGTCGCGCGGATACCCCATGCGGAGGAACTTTTCGATCGTGGGGTCCTCCGGTCCGTCCAGCACCCGTCGCACGGTCGCGTCCAGCGACGTCGGATCCGCGGGCGCGCCGCGCGCCGACGTCGACGGCGACGGCGACGGCGACGTCGACGGCGACGTCTCCTCCGCGAGGACCTGGCGCTCGCGCGTCGTGTCGAAGCGCGCGTCGTCGGCGGCGTCCGCGGCCGCGTCCGCGCTCGTCTCGAGAGGCGGGAGGCTCACCTGCGCGGGCGGACGGAAGAGGCGTCGAGGAGGCGTCGAGGATGAGGAGTGACGCGAGGAGGACGCGTCGGGATCTCGCCGGGGGGGGGCGGCGGCGAGGAAGACGCGGAGGGAGGGAGACGCGACGCACCGGCGGCGTGAGCTGGTACGTCGCCGGGACCGCGATCCGCACGCCGACGCACGGCCGCGCGTCGGGGTTCATCGCGCGCGACGACGACGACGACGACGCGCGGACGACGAGTGATGACGAGGCCGCGTCGTCAAACAAACGTTCTGTTTCTCTTTTCGACGCGACTGCATTTATTGCAATCTTTTCATGACATCAGCACTGCAGTGATGATCAGCGCCTCCGGCGCTTCGGCCGTCGGTAGTTGTGATGATCAAAAAAGCAGCAAGGCTCCCTCCTCTCGCCTCCTCCTCCTCTCCGCTCACCGCGCGGTCGTCTCCGGCGCCCCCTCCCGCGCCTCTACTCCCACTTCTCCCACGACGCACCCGTCCGCGCCGCACTGCGCGATCCCGTACTCCATCCCGTCCACCAGCGCCCTGAAGCTCGCCTCGATGATGCTCGCGTGCGCGCCCACGGTTCGCCACGTCCCGCCGCCGCCGCGGTCCACGAAATCCATCGTGACGCGCGTCACCGCCGCGGACGTTCCCTCGGAGGAGAGCAGATCGACTTGGTAATCCACGAGATGAATGCGCTTGAGCTGCGGGAAGCGCTCGTTGAGCGCGAGCTGAAGCGCGTTCGCGAGCGCGTTCACCGGGCCGTTGCCCTCGGCGACGCACAACTTGGTCCGGCGCCGGCTCGATCGGATCGCCTTCGCGGCCGACGGCTTCGAGTCGGCCGTCGCGTCGTCGTCGTCGTCGTACTCCAAGAGCTCCACCTTGACGACCACCTGGTTCACGCTCACGGTGCCTCGCTTGTACCCGCTCTCGCGTCGAAGCGACGTCGCTCTCCACGCCGCGTCCTCGTCCTCGTCGTCAGGCGCGAAATCGTCGTCGACGAAATCTAAATCTTTCGCGTCCTCCATTCCCTCCGCGGTGACGACGCCCCCGAACGCGTTGTTCGACGCCGAGACGTTAAACTCGAGGACGTTGAACGGCGCTCTGTACCCCGCGGCCGCGCGCTGAAACAAGATGTCCACCGACGCCCCCGCGTCTTCCAGCACGAACCCTTTGCTCTCGAGCTCCTTGATCTGCGCGAGGACGATCCCCGCTGTGTCTTTGCTCACTTCGCGGCCGGCGGCCACCGCCGCGGAGAGCACGTTGCCGCGGCCGGAGAGTTCGGAGACGACCGACCGCGCGGCGTTGCCCACCGTCCCCGGGACGACGTGGTTGTACGAGCTCGGCATCTTCGCGAGCGCGGCGACGTGGAGGCCGCCCTTGTGCGCGAACGCGCTCGAGCCGACGTAGGGCTGCCTCGCCTCCAGCGGCTGCTTGCACGCCTTGGCCACCGCCGCCGCCGTCGCGGTCAGCTTCGCGACGCCGCCGGGCGGGAGCGCCGTCACGCCCATCTTCAGCTCTGAGTTTTCGTCGCCCATACGAAGCGACGTCGGGGTGGAGTTGAAAGGCGTCAGAAGCGGAGTTGAAAGGCGTCGAGGTGTGTCGGGATTGAAAGCGAGGGGTGCGCGGAGAGAGACGCCGCCGGGGAGCAAAGTCCTTAAGGAACGGCGTTCACCACGCCGACGCGGTCGTACGGGGACCAGTGTGATGCTCCGAGGACGCACCTAGGTTGGCGGCGACGACCAAGACGTCCGCGTTGCCGGTGCGCTCGCCGTAGCCGTTGACGCACCCTTGCACCATCGACGCGCCGCCTCTGACGCCCGCGAGCGAGTTCGCGACCGCGAGCGCGGTGTCGTTGTGCGTGTGCACGCCGACGCGGCAGCTCGGATTGGAGGACTTTTTCAACGCGTCGACGACGGCGCGCGTCTTCTCCTCCACGACCCACGGCAACGTCCCGCCGTTGGTGTCGCACAAGACCACGTGCGTCGCGCCCGCCTCCGCGGCGGCGACCGCGCATCGCATCGCGAACTCGCCGTTCGCGGCGTGGCCGTCGTAGAAGTGCTCGCAGTCGACCAGAACCTCTTTCCCTCGTTCGACGAGGTACGACACCGAGTCCGTGATCATCGCCAAATTCTCCTCGCCGCTCACGCCCAGCACCCGCTCGCACTGCTCGTCCCAAGCCTTCGCGACGATGCACGCGCACGGCGCGACACAGCGCACGAGCGCGTTCAAACCCTCGTCGTCTTTCGCCTCCACGCCCTTGCGGCGCGTCATCCCGAACGCGCAGAGCTTCGTGCCGCGCGCCTCCGCCGCTTTCGCGAGGCCGCTGGAATCCCACCTGTTGAAAAACTCGACATCCTTCGGGTTCGACCCAGGGTAGCCGCCCTCGATGTGACTCACCCCGAGCGAGACGAGGTGCGACGCGACCTCGAGCTTGTCGTCGCACGTCAGCGAGATCCCGACCTGGAGCGTTCGCGCGCGCGCGCGGGGGGGGGTTGGGGGTGAGCGCGTGAGTCCGTCGGTCATTCGTTCTGTTAGGGATGCGCGCGACTCTGATTCGATGCCAGGGGTTCGAATCGACGCGACGACGGAGACGATGTGGACGCGTTCGCTCGTTCGCGGCGGCGGGGGGGGGGGGTTCGTCGGACGCGCCTGCTGCGAGCCGTCGCGCAGCGTCGTGTCGTAGATGTCGACGCGTCGCGGGGCGGCGTCGCCGTTCGCCGCCGCCGCCGCCGCCGTCGCCGATCGTCGAGTCACGCGGAGGACGAGCGATGATGATGGGGCGATCGCTCTTCGCGATCGATCGCGCGCGAACGCGCGCGGTCCCGATCCGCCGCGGGTCGCGCGCGTCGTCGCCGTCGCCGTCGCGCACGGCGTCGCGGCCGCGACGGGGAGCGGCATCGCCATGACGATCGTCGCCGTGACGACGCCGCGACGCGGTGATGTGCGCGCGATGGGACGGCCCGGGAAATTCAAGTATCTAGTTCCCAGCCTGCCGTCGACGCGTCTGCCGATAGCCGACCCTACCTGCTCGAGGTGCGTTCACTACAAACGTTTTTCACCCACCGTTCGGTTTCAACATTTGATCGCTTACCCTTTCAATTGACCGAAGAACATTTTCACGCGCATTGCGGAGATCTCGAGAGAATCCGTGTGATGACTGTGTCGATCATCAGTCCACGGCGGACGACTTCCGCGGGTTAACACCGCGAAGCCCCCAGTTCTCTCGCGCGCTCGCAGCCCGCGCGAAGTGAAGGCGCGCGCGTCGCGTCGGCGAACGAACGGAACTCTCCGGTCGCTCGCGCGACCTCTCCTCCCCGCGTCCTCCGCCGAGGGCGAAGGGCGAGCACGCGCGCGCGGCGAAGCGGGGCGGCGGCGGTCTCGTCAGATCGCGCGAACTTGCGGAAAAGTGTACAGTAAGTGCGCGGTTTCGTCTTCCGCGGAACGACGATGGCCCCCGACGCGGGCGCGTCGACGTCGCCGCCGCGCCGCTCGTTCGAGCGCGCGCGCCCTGAGAAGCGCGTCACGTTCTTCCAGCGATCCGACAGCGCGTTCGAGTCCGAGTGGTTCGCGTCGCGCGTCCTCGGCCGCGAGCCCGCGGCCGCGCCCGCGCGGAAGCCGCGCCGCGGCCGCGGCGCGCCGCCGCCGTTCTTCTCGAGCGACGACGACGACGACGACGACGTCGTCGACGACGCGTCCGAATCCTCTCTCCTCCGCTCGCATCATCACCGCCACCCCTCCGCGGCGTCGCCGGCGTCCGCGTCCGCCAGCGCGCGCGCGGACCTCGCGCGCGTGCGGTTCCCGCGACAGATGCCGAACGGCATCGCGGTGGACGTCCGGAACGCGCTCATCGAATCCGAAGGCGACTGGGCCGCGGCGACGACGCGAATCTCTCGCTACGCGCAGGCGCGTCCTCTCATCACACTGGTCCCCACACGACCCCGTTCGCTTGGTGAACGCCGATCCGTAAGGACTTTGCCCGTCGCGTCTCTCCGTGACTCCGACGACTGACTGACGCCTTTGAACTCCACCCCGACGTTCCTGTCGTCGCCTCGTATGGACCCTCCCTCGACCCTCAGCTCGCGCGCGAGCAGTTTGAGGTGGTAAACATGATGATATCCTCGCGGCGGTGCATCCGCGAGCGCGAGAAGCTTGGGCTCGAGGGACGCGCGGCGGCGTCCGAACGGACGGCGGCGTCCGCGTCGTGGACCAACGCGGACGACGTGTTTTCCAAGTCGGTGCGTTCGCTGCGCGGCGCCGGCGGCCCGACGACGCTCGTCGTCGCGCCGCGGCTCGAGGACGCGCTGAGGGCGATCGAGCGCGCGATCGAGAAGTCTACCACGTCGGCGTCGAGTAGCCACGTGGCGAACGGCGATTGGTGCGAGATTGAGCTCGAGGGCCTCGTCGCGAACGCGCGCGACTCGTTGCGGCGATTCGAACGCGACGCGCGCGGGCTCGTGACGCAGCGGACGTTCAACCCGGCGTTCATCGTCGCGGATATCGCGCGCGGGGAGTGGGACGTCGCCGTCGGCGTCGTCCGCGGCTTCGTCGCGCGGTTGCACGACGCGTACGTCAAAGCCGTCGACGCCGTGTGTTCGCACGAGGAGACTACGAACGCCCCCGCCGAAGCCGCTTCGATTCGCGACGAGAACGTTTGCTCGCGGTTTCGCGACGCGAAGGCTGCCATCGCGGACGTTTCGAGGCGCGCGACGCGGCTGCGCGTGAGGCACGGCGCCGAAGAAGCGATCGACCTCGCGCACGGGACGTTGGACGTGCTGTGTAACGCGCGAATCGACGCGAACGACGCGACGGGCGCGGCGAAGTACGCGCTCTTACTGTTGAGGCGCGTTCTATTCCTTCACACTGGTCCTCATACGACCGCGTTCGCGCGGTGAACGCCGTTCCTTAAGGACTTTTCTTCCCGGCGTTTCTCTCCGCCCAGGGTCCCTCGATGGTTTTAATCCCCGCCCTCGACGCCTTTCAACTCCACTTCTGACGCCTTTGAACTCCACCCCGACATTCGTCGCAATGTATGGAATGGCCCTAAGGGACGTCTTGGAACGCGCGGCGTTTGATTTCCATAACCTCGCGCCGCACGACCCCGCGTGCGAGTGCCCTCGGAAGTTCCTCGCGCTGTCGAGCGACGACGAGAGCGCCGACGTCGGCGTCGGCGTCGCGCGCGGCGGCGGGCGCGACGGATCGAGTTACGAATGGGATATGAAACGGCACGGCGCCGGCGCGCTCGGCGGCGCGCGCGCGATCGCGGTGATGGTTTTTTTTATGCTCGCCGCGGTGCGAGTGCTCGCGTGGAAGGCGTGGACGGCGGCGCGGCCGCTCGATTGAATCGATCGATCGTTCGATCGATCGATCACGCGTACACGTACGACGTATGACTACAACGTATTATGTAGCACACTACATGCGCAGGCTTTTTTTAGCACGCGGACGGGCGCCTTCCAGTCGAGGCGGTTCTTCCGGAAGTACTGCGGAAAAATAGGACGCGAGAAGCGAAGGGCGCCTCTTAGTCGAGGCCGCTCTCCATCGCGCGTACGTAGCTGAATAGGACGAAGTTCGGGACGAAGTTCGCGCTGACTCATCATTACAGTTGTCTAGTTCCCGGGCTTGGACTGTATGTCCGCCGCCGCCGCGTCCTTCCCTCCTTTCCCCGAGAACCCCGCGTACGTCCCTTTGTACACCTGCTCCAGAACGTTCCGCAGCGTCGCCGGATAGAACGGCTTCGACAAGCTGCCGTTCATCCCGGCTTTCTTCACCTTATCCGTGTACTCCGGCCCGACGTTGGCGCTCAGACCGACGATGGCGTGCGGCTTCTCCGCGCCGTGCTTCTTCTCCAGCTCTCGAATGAGCACCGTCGCCGTCGCGCCGTCCATCACGGGCATCATCATGTCCATGAGCACGCAGTCGTAGTTTGGAAGCTTCTGTTCGAGTCTCGAGGAGACCATGTCCACGGCTTCCTTGCCGTGCTGCGCGATCTCGAGCTCGGCGCCGGAGCGGATGATGGAAAATTTCGCCATCTGTTGGTTCATGACGTTATCCTCCACGAGGAGCACGCGCATCCCCGCGAGAAGCTCGTGCTTTAAGTCCTCCGCGCTCGCGCTCGAAGCCGCGGCCGCGGTCGCGCCGTCGCCCTCGTCGCCCGGCGAGGCGGAGGCGCCCGAGTCGGCGGCGGCTCTCCCCGCGTTGTGATCCGCGTTCGCCTCCGCGGCTCTCAACCTCTCCGCGACGCCGTCGTCGCATTCTCCGCCCGTGTCGTGCATCCAGTCCGGCTCCCCGAGCGCGTTCACGTTCGCGAGCTTCCACGCCGCGCGCAAGAAATCGCTCGGCTTCACCGGCCGCAGCACCGTCTGCACGTTCCTCAGGTCGGACGTCCGACGATGGAAATCGATGAGCTGATACGGCAACCCGAAGATGACGACCCCCGCCTTCTTCGGCGTCTGCTTCACGAGGTTCAGCGTCTTCTCCGTGTCCTCGATGTCCGCGAGGACGATCGGGATGCCGAGCCCGGACGCCTGCTCGATCTTCCCCGCGAGCTTGTCCGCGGACGGGACGCTGAGGGTCGAGGGTCGAGGGTCAAAGCGATGTCGGGGTGGAGTTCATAGGCGTCAGAAGCGGAGTTGAAAGGCGTCGAGGTGTGTCGGGATTGAAAGCGAGGGACCCTGGGCGGAGAGATGCGCCGGGAAAAGTCCTTAAGGATCGGCGTTCACCACGCGAACGCGGTCGTATGGGGACCAGTGTGAGATAGAACGCGCCTGACGTAGTTGACGCCCGCGCGCCCGCCGAAGCACTTCAGAATGTTCACGACGTGCTTTCGGCTCGACGCGCTCATCCCCGGGTGCAACACCACCCGCGCGTTCGCGGGGAGGCTCTGCTCGTGCTCGGTGTCGAGGCCTCCGCCTGACACGGCGGACCCGAACCCGAGGTCGGTCGCGCCTTCGAACTCCTCCTCGTAATCCACCGCGCTGAGCCGCGCGTGTTTGAAATCCACGGTGAAGAAGAACTTCGTCCCCTCGTCCTCTTTCGATTCGAACTCAATCTCGCCGCCCATGCACTCGATGATGTTCTTCGTGATGACCAACCCGAGCCCGGTGCCCTTCTCTTTCGCCGCCTTGTGGTCCGCGGGCTGCGAGAACGGCACGAACAGATTATGCTGCTTCGCCGCGGGGATCCCGACGCCGTTGTCCTTGACGCTAAACGTGATGCCCGAGACGTCGCGAACGTCGTCAAAAATCGACTCGTCTCCCTTCTCGCTTTGTTGATCGCGTTGACCGCGGGAGTCGCCCCCACCGCGCTCACCCCGCGCCGACCCCGCGCGCTGACCCCGCGCCCTGCAGATGCTCATCGTGAACTCCACGAGCGAACTCCGGCCTTGGACGTTGCTCGAGTATTTGATCGCGTTGTCGACGAGGTTCACGCAGCACTGCCGCAGGCGGAAGAAATCCCCGACAAACTTCGTGTTGAAGTGCTCCGGGTGCTCGATGTGAATCACGAGGTCCACGCCGCTGCTACTCGCCTTCTGCGAGATGTCCGTGACCTGTTCGATAAGCTGTCGCAGCGTGAAGACGTCTTCGCTGAGCTCGATCGCGGGACCGTCGCTCGAGCCCGCGTCCTTCGCCCCTTCAAACTTCGCGACGTCCAGAATCTGGTTGATGAGCGACAGCAGCGCCTCCGCGGACGTCAGCGACGCCTTGATGAAGCTCTCCGTGAACTCCGTGAGCTCGCCGCTCTCCATCGCGAGCGTGTTGAACCCTATGATGGAGTTGAGCGGCGTGCGGAGTTCGTGCGTGATGTTGAAAAAGAACGTTCGCTGCATCCCCGCCATGTGCGCCGTGAGCTGCGTCCTCTTCTGGTCCACCATCTCGACGAACCGCATCGACCCCGCGGAGATCACGAGCGAATAACTAAACTTCGTGAGCACGTCGTTGTACAGGTAAATTTCGTGCTGCCGCGCCGGCGTCATGACCCCGAACAAGACCGCGAAATACACCGCCGGATACACCGTCCACGCGATCATCTTCAGCGCCGCGATGCACTTCACGCGCCCCGCGTCCGCGACGGACAACCCGTCCGCTCTGCGCGTGATGTCCACGAGCGCGAACAGCGAGTGGTAGATGATGAACCCAAAGCACGCCATCGCGACGGAGAGGAACGCGAATCGCTCGAGCCCGCGCGTGAGCGGCGCGACGAGGCCGCACAAGATCATCAGCTCGTCCGCGAGTATCAACGCGATTCTATTCACCGGGACGTACGGCGCGATGGCGTTCGCGGCCTTCGTCGTCCCATCGCGCGTCGTCGTCAGCGACGTCTTCTTCGGGCCCATCGCTCTCGGGAGCGCGGCGAATACGAACGCGTGGAGGTTCTGGACGAGGAGGAGGAGTATCGGCGTCGTGCACGCCCACTCCAGTTGCCGCAGTCCGCTGAGGGTCGAGGGTCCATCATTCAAAGCGACGTCGGGGTGGAGTTGAAAGGCGTCAGAAGCGGAGTCGAAAGGCGTCGAGGTGTGTCGGGATTGAAACCGAGGGGTGGGCGGAGAGAGACGCCGGGAAAAGTCCTTAAGGAATCGCGTTCACAACGCGAACGGGGTCGTATGGGGGCCGGTGTGAGATAGAACGCGCCTGAACGACACCACCTCTCCTGACGGGCCGAAGGTGTTGACGTACCAGTCCCTCCCCTCGGCCATCTCGTAGTGCGTGTACGCGGCGATCGTGGAGATGTACGCGACCTGGAGGTTCAGCTTGCGCTTCGAGTCGTGGATCGAAAACGCCGCGGCGTTCACGTTGAAGAAGAGCGCGGCGGTAAAGACCACGAACGCCATTCGCGCGTGCGATTCGTCCACGGACTCGACGCTCCCGTCCGCGTTCGGTACCCCGACGCTGATCCCGGGGATCACGCGCTGGATCGCGCGGTTGAGAAGCACAAACGCGGTCGCCATGCCTGGGGGAGAGAGAAGAGAACGCGCGTGAGGAGGGAGGGAGGGAGGGAGCGCGGTCGTCGTCCAGATGGGAGCGAATGAATGCGTCGTGCCGCGTGGCGAAGATATTTACGGCTAGGTTTCCCCCGCGCGGGGGGGGGGGACGAGATTCGTCGACGCACCCGCGAGATTCCACGGCGAGACCGTCGGCATGACCTGCGTTCGCGCGACGGAGACGGGCTCCGTCGACGCGACCGCGGCGTTCCCCATGGTCGCGACCGCGGTTCGGAGATCCCGCGGCGCGTCGTTCGATTGAAGACAAGATGCACTTTTTACGCTTTTTGCTGACGTTTTTCAGATCTAACATTGGATTCGACGACGCCCCGATGAAACGAAACCGCGGACCGCTCAAAACGTGACCCTTCTTGATCCTTCTTGAAACCAAAGCTTGACCGGCGTCGTCGCGATGGCACCTCGATCTATTGCTGGTTCTGTTACGAGGGTTTCTTCGCGCGCGCGATCTCGCCTCGCGCACAACACGGCGCACGTCGAAGGAAGACGCGCGCGCGCTTCGTAGGATCCCCGTCGACGACCTCGACGCGTGGAGGACGACCACCGCGCGAACCTTCGCCGGCGCGCGCGCACGCCGGTCTCGAGACGCGTCGACGCGCGCGTCGCATCGCGCGTCGACTTCTTTTTTGAACATCATCCGATAACAACAACCGTCGTCGACCGAGCGCGATGTCCACGCGCAAAGAGCGCGAACGACTCGATGAGGCCGAGCGCAAGGCTGCGGAGAAGCAGGCGAAGAAGGCTGAGCTCGCCGCGAAGCGCGCGGCGCGCGACGCGGAGAAAGCCGCGAAGCGCGACGCGGAGAGCGAGCAAGGATCGCTGATCGCGCCGTCGGAGGCGACGACCGACGACGCCGCGTCCGTCGCGTCGGCGTCGGCCGCGCCGCACGAAGAGGAAGAAGACGACGATCCGAACGCGTGGAACGCCGACGAGGAGATGACGCTCGTGAACGCGCTCGCGACGCACCCGAAAGGCAGCGCGCCGTCGGAGAAGGAGCGATGGGAAGCGATCGCGAGCGAACCCGGGTTGGATCGCCGAGACGCGTTGGCGTGCGTCGGGAGGTATAAAGAGCTCCTGGCCCGCGTGCGCGCGGCGAAGGCGGCGGCGGGCGCGAGCGGCGAGGCGGCGATATCCATGTCGAGCGTGATCGTGAAGAAGAAGCCGGGCCCGCCGAAGAAGAAGCCGATGCGCGCGATGAAGCTCGAGCAGGAGGCGGCGGCGCGCGCGAAAAAAATAGCCGCCGAGGAGAAGCTCGCCGCCGAGCGCCGAGAGGCCAGCGGCGGTCGGTTATCCCAAGAAGAGCTCGGCTTCTTTCAGCGCTCCGGCCCGGACGTGCAGATACGCCGAGCGAACAGCAACATGGACATCCAGATAAGCAACGTGCAGCTGTACGGCGGGCGACAGGAACTGCTCTCGGACGCGACGCTGCGGCTCGTCTTTGGCAAAAAGGCGCGTTCTGGTTACACTGGTTCCCATACGACCGCGGCGGCGTGGTGAACGCCGTTTCTTAAGGACTTTCGCACGGCGTGTCTCTCCGCCCAGGGACCCTCGCTTTCAATCCCGACACACCTCGACGCCTTTCAACTCCGCTTCTGACGCCTATGAACTCCACCCCGACGTCGCTTTGAATGATGGAACGACCCAAAGTACGGACTCGTCGGTCGAAACGGCACGGGGAAGTCCACGCTTCTGCACGCCATCAGCGAGCGCACGATCCCGATGCCCGCGCACTTGCACATCATACACGTCGAGCAGGAGGCTGCGCCGTCGGACAAGTCCGCGCTGCAGACGGTTCTAGACACGGACGAGGAGCGCGCGTATCTCCTCGAGATCGAGAGAATCTTACTCGAAGAGGAGAAGGACTCCCACGAGGGGATCGACCTGAACGAGGTGTACGAGCGCCTGGACGAGATCGGGTCCGACGAGGCGATCGCGCGCGCGGGCGGCATCCTGGGCGGGTTAGGGTTCGACGCCGCGATGCAAGCGAAGAGCACAAAGGAGTTTTCCGGCGGGTGGAGGATGCGAATCTCGCTCGCGCAGGCGCTGTTCATGACCCCGGATTTGCTCCTGCTGGACGAGCCGACCAATCACCTGGACGTGCACGCGCTGACGTGGCTCGAGGAGTTTCTGCAGCGGTGGGAGAAGACCGTCGTGATCGTGTCGCACGACCGCGGGTTCTTGAACGACACGACGACGGCGACGATGTTTTTGCACCACAAGAAGCTGCGGTATTACGGAGGCAACTACGACACCTTCGTCAAGGTTCGAAGCGAACACCGCGCGAACGAAGAAGCGACGCGCGCGAACCAGTCCCAGCGCGAGGGCCACCTGAAAAACTTCATCCAGAAGTTTGGACAGGGACACAAGAAGATGGTGAAGCAAGCGCAGTGCCGCATGAAGATGCTCGCGAAGCTTCAGGAGGAAAAGGTGGACGTGGATTACGACGATCCGTATCTACGTCTCAACTTCCCCTCCGCGACGCCGCTGCCGCCGCCGTGCATCTCCGTGATGAACGCCGCGTTCGGGTACGAGGGGTACGAGACCCTGTACGAGGGCCTCGACTTCGGGCTGGACATGGACAGCCGCGTCGCGATCGTCGGCCCAAACGGCGCGGGGAAGTCGACGTTTTTGAAGCTCCTCGAGGGCGCGATAATCCCCACGCGAGGGTGGGTGAACCGCCACACGAAACTGCGGCTCGCGCGGTTCTCGCAGCACCACCTGGAGACGATGAACTTGGAAGAGGACTGCGTGTGCCACATGAAAGGCCTAGACTCGGAGATGCCGTTAGAGGAAGCCAGGGCGTACCTCGGGCGGTTCGGCCTCAGGCGCGTTCTGTTATCACACTGGTCCCCGTACGACCCCGTCGGCGTGGTGAACGCCGATCCTTAAGGACTTTTGCCGGCGCATCTCTCCGCCCAGGGTCCCTCGCTTTCATTCCCCGCCCTCGACACCTTTTAACTCCGCTTCTGACGCCTTTCAACTCCACCCCGATATCATCGCTCGTATGGACAATCACCCTCAGCGGCGAGCTCGCGACCAAACCGGTGAAGTTTCTCTCCGGAGGACAAAAATCGCGGCTGGCGTTCGCGGAGCTGGCGTGGCGCCAACCGCACATCATGCTCCTCGACGAGCCCACGAACCACCTCGACCTTGAGACGATCGAAGCGCTCGCGATGGCGCTGAACAAGTTCGAGGGCGGCGTCGTCTTGGTATCGCACGACGAGCGGTTGATCTCGCTCGTCGTGGATGAGATCTGGCAGGTGGTGAAGGGCGACATGACGTCGGACCCGCAGCGGCCGGGGTGCGTGAAGGTGTTCAACGGGTCGTTCGAGGAGTACAAGGAGATGCTGCGGCGCGAGTTCGAGGGCGGGTCGCTGTTGACGAACAAGAAGAAGGCGGAGCGCAGGGCGAAGGAGGAGAAGGAGGCGAAGAGATCGCCGCCCGACGCCGCGGCGCCGCGGAAACCGTCTCAGGTGCGTTCTATACACTGGTCCCCATACGACCGCGTCGGCGTGGTGAACGCCGATCCTTAAGGACTTTTGCCGTCGTCTCTCTCCGCCCACACCTCGCTTTCAATCCCCGACCGCGACGCCTTTCAACTCCACCTGACGCCTATGAACTCCACCCCGACATTCGCTTGTATAGAACGGCCCTCAACCGCCGCCGCTGCAGCCGGCGGGGAAGATCACAGTCGAGAAACGGCGGTCGATCGACGAGGCCCCGGCGGCACCGCGGGTCGTCGAGCGACCGAGCGGGATGGTCGAGGTGGGCGGTGGCGGCGGCGGGTACGTCCCGCCGCATCTGCGGAACAAGCCGCCCGAGGGCGTCAAAGACGCCTGGGACGACGACTGACGTGACGACGGAGGACGAGAGACGGGAACGAAAATAGTTCTTATTACTAGCGGGTGAAAACGCCCACTCGTCGTACGTTTCAACGTCATCGACCGCCGCTACGTGTGCCCTAATACCCTCGCGTCGCGATACCATCTGTAACAACAAACCGCCTCCTTCCTCTCGTCCGTCACCACGGATCGTCCGGTGGAATGTCCGTCTTGCACCGTATCACGCGCCATCCGATCACGAAGATAGCCTCGAAGAACGCGTCCGCGATGAGCTCCGACGCCGCGCCGTTCAAGATCAGATCCGTCTCGTACGAGTCCCCCAGCCTCGGCGGCTCCATCCCTCGCGCCGCGAACTCCGCCGCGAGCGAAAACTGCGTCACCAGTATCAGCAGCCCGATCGCGAAGCACCCGCCGCGTATCGTCCGACTGAAGAGGGAGGGTCGATTTCCGCGCGTACGAATCGCGACGTCGGGGCGGCGTCGAAAGGCGTCAGGGGCGGCGTCGAAAGGCGTCGAGGTGTGTCGAGCGATGAAAGCGAGCGGCGGGCGGGAGAGAGGCGCCGGGCGGGAGAGAAAGTCCTTCAGTCCTTCAGTCCTTAAGTAACGGCGTGCACCGCGCCAACGCGGTCGTACGGGGACCGGCGTAAACGTGAACGCGCCTCACCGCCTCCTCCACGGTGCCGTCGTACGCCTCTCGCTCGTACGCCCTCGCCGCGAGCGCGCCCGGGATCCAGCACGCCGCGAGCTTCGCGCCGTGCGACAGCGCGGGAACCAGCAGCGGCAGCGACCGCCAGCGCGGGACCCACGGCGCGGGGACGAGCCACGACGGGCGCGGAACGCCGAGCGCGAGGACGACGATCGAGACGAACACCGGCACGGTCGTCACGACGAGCGCGTCGGCGATGGGGAGGCCTCGATCGTCGATGCGCGCGGACGTGAACCTCGCCTTGATGGCGTTCCCGAAGTTCATCCCAGCCTTGAACTCCTCCGCGAGGTTCACCTTCTCCCTCTCCTCCTTCTCTTTCTCCTTCTCCTTCGTCGCGACGACGTCCTTCTCGTCGTCGGCGTCGCGCTTCGCCGACGCGACGATCGCGGCGCGCGATCGTCGGAGCGACGATGGCGATGTTATCCGACCGGCGCGCGCCGCGGACGTCGCCGTCGCCGCGCGTCTCCTCGCGGCGGCGGCGGCGGCGGCGCGCGTCGTCGTCGTCGTCGTCTCGATCGTCGACGTCGCGCGCGCGCGCGCGACGCCGACGGCGAGGCGCGGCGCGGACATCGTGCGACGCCGCGCGCGATGGTGTGCGCGGGGCGCGATTGGAGCGCTGCCGTGAAGCCGACGCGTGGCAGTGCCGCGCGGGCGGTGCCGATTCCGAACTTTGACGGGGTCCGAGCATCACTCCCGCGGGCGCGCCCCCCCGCGGGCGCGGCCGGCGCCTTCTCCCCCCTCCCCCATGCCGCGCGAGAACCTTCGCGCGCGCGCGCGGCGCCGCGCGCTCCGCCGCGTCGCGTCCGGCGACGCCGACGACGCCCGCCGCGGCATGACGCGCGACGAGCTCGACGACCTGATCGACGCCTGCCGCAAAAAATATGCCGCGCGCTTCGGCGTGGTTCGACTCTCATCGCTGGATCTCGACGCGCCGTTCGCGACGCCGGAGCGCTCCGCGCGGACGCTGCGATGGAGCGCGCCGCGAATCACGCTGCTGCAGCTCGCGGCGACGATGGGGAGGGACGCGATCGTCCTGCAGCTCCTTCGCGCGGGGGCGTCGCCGGTCGAGATGCAGACTACGCGCGACGGCGACGACGACGCGAACTCCGCATCATCATCGTCCGACGCGCTTCTTCGATCGCTCGCGAGGCGCGCGAGAACGCACCTCCAGCGGCTGCGGTCGCCGCACTCGACGTGGGTCGCGAAGGGCGCGGTTCGCATGCGGCACCGCGCGCTGCTCGCGCGCGACGACGCGGGGGACGCGGGTTGGGACGCGGTGGGACGATGCGAACGCTGCGGACGCGGCGAGTCATCAGGTGCGTTCTATACACTGGTCCCCATACGACTGCGTCGGCGTTGTGAACGCCGATCCTTAAGGACTTTGCCCGGCGCGTCTCTCCGCCCACCCCTCGCTTTCAATACCCGCCCTCGACGCCTTTCAACTGCAACTGACGCCTTTGAACTCCACCCCGACGTTCGCTTGTATAGAACGGCCCTCAGAGTCGGCGTCGACGACGACGACGACGAGGAGGG